ATTGTCTGCGCATCCTTCGACATCATATTGGATTTGATATCCAAGGGCCTCACTGGCTGAGGCATGTCCTCCAAGCCCATCTTGGCATGAATTCACTCCGGCGCTCGATGATACAGGCTTAGGGGCAAAACACATTCGAGCATGAACAAGCAAGCTCAGCTCAGCTTGCAGCAGCAACGTAGCCGAAGATTGCCGGTGAGTGGCTTTACGTCGAGTAGCTAATGCGCCGTTTACACAAGCTTGTCTACCCGCCTCAGGTACCAGGCTAGTAGATAATGACCACATCAGACAAGACAATGGAACCAGCCTGAGCAGAGGAGATGTCGATTCCATATGTATCTCTCGAATTCTTCCCTACTTCCGTGACTTAGTAGCTCTACGTACGAAGCAGCCTGAAGTCGCGGTGGATAGCAGCCTTGACTCCGCTGCTGAGCGAATGAAGATCAAGAGCTCGACCCGCAGGAGTACGCAAACCGCCCTCACGATGGCGACGACTTGCAGAAACCTCTGCCCATCGTACCATTGGCAAGGCTCAAGGGGTCTGCAGATAATTTGGCGGGTATACAGACGTTCGAACTGAAGCCGTTTGGCTCAGGCGAAGCTCACGGCGGAACATCTGCCTCGGCTAAGCGACGGGTCCATTGCCAGCTGAATCCTGCAAAATCTGTTTCCGAGGAGATCACATTGTAGGAACATGAAGCGACTATGTATCAGGTCGGCGTCAACATGTGAGATACCAGAATAAACCTCGATACGGCTACCAATCTCGGTGGTGTTACATGCCAGTTCAATGGCTTCCATCAGGCTTCAGACTCCCTGGCTGCTCATATTATCATCAAGCGGCGCTCGCAATGACAGGGTGGTTTGACTGTTCAGCGGCTCATCAGATAGTGAACCTCATCCCGGAAACAGTACACTTACGGGGAAGACGCGGCTTGGACCGTATGTCTTGTAATGCAGAGAAGGACGCGCGCCGCTGCCGCGACGTCTTACTCGTAAGTGGTCGATCTGGCATTGCGATAGCGAGACAGGAATCCAATATTAACTGTGTTATCTTCATGAGGCCTTGGTCTGCAGCCACGATTGGGTATTTCTGAAACTGCCAAAGGATCAACAGGTATCTGTACCGCTTCAAGGAGGATTCAGCTCAACTCGGTGCCACGTCGGAGAAGGCACGTACGATGATGAGATCGGCGTTGACACCTTGCAGGATAGGTATCTTGACCGGTACGAGTGGACGCTCCCCTTCAAGTCGAGGTATTCTTTCGGGAATGGCGATTGGCACACCAGACCACACGGAGAAGGTGCAATAGCACGTACGGATGACCATGTTTTTCTGATGCTATAAGAGTCGTCAGTCTCCAGAATCAATACTTCCTTCTGCGATACGTACGTCATCCACGTCATCCACAGCAACCCGACGCAGGGGAGCAAAGTAAAACATTGCAGTGCGAAACTGGAGCGACAACGTCACTTGACACAGAAATCAGCGTCGACATTCACCGGCATTCGGTATATTTGGCTCACTCACATACTAAAGTATGAAGAATCAGAGGCTCCATAAGCGTCGCGCTCGCGTCGGATCCCCAGATTTCGCAAAGCTGCGCCTCCTCCTTCAGCTCCCTCGTCGCTCCAATCGATAGCACCTGGTTGAGGCCAACGCAAGTCAATCTTGCAATCTGCAAGTAGCCCTTCAACATGGGAGGTATTTCATAACTGCTTCCTTGCTTAGTGTGTGCCTCAACGGCGTCTGGCGTGGCACGCTGGAGCAGATGAGTGTACTTCAGGACATATCGAAGGCAGGACCAGGCGCCCTTCGGTAAGCTGCGTATGGATACTCAGCCTCGACAACCTCAGTCGACGGAGGATGATAACGCACCCCCCGTAGGGATCTCTGTGAATGCCAAAGGCATCTGCGAGTATCTTGAACGCGAGGTTTCTGAATTGGTGCGACACACGCAGGAACGTCGGGAATGGGTTGGCGGCCAGTCGCTCCTCTATTTCGTTATCATCTTGCGTCTCGGAAGAAAAGATTAAATACAAGTAACGAGAGGCGGTTACGAGGAAGATGTCGATCCAGAGCTCGGGAGGAAGAAGCAGAGGATATCTGGGACGAGTGATCGGACGATGGCGCGGACAGATGAAGTAGTCGTATCGCGGGTCATTTCTGGCTAGATTCACACTGTGGCGAACGTCTCTCATGTCTGTACAGCACATAATTCAGTATCTAGTCGGAGAATAGTGGCACAATAGCGAGTGATCACCTTGCACAGTATTTTCCATTGTCATCGTGTTATGCTTGACCATCATGCAACTTGATATGCTGACACGATCCCGCGAGCGGAGTGTAGGGACCAGAGCCTGTTCGTCGAGGGGATGATGAGTGTCAGTAGCAGATGGGTATATCAGCGCTACCTTGTGTCTATCGGCTGCCTCACGCAAGCCTCATTGAAACCTTGAGGCTCCGCAACCTGATACTACAAGTCTATAAGGGACTCGCCGGAGGCCGGCTAGTAGTACTATTCGCAATAGTAAGTTTGACAAGCCTATCGTGCCTTCCCACCAGTAGCGCTACTGACCTCGAATGCCTGCGAAGTCGTGCTCGGTGCACGCGGAAAGCTCGTGGCAGCCCGGCGAATGTCAGAAGCAGACGTCCTCCCTTCGAGTCAAGCAAGCTCAGTACCAAAACGGCAGCTGCAGTCGTTCGGCGGTTGAGCGCTTCCCACCAACGCGTGGCCACCAAAGGTATTACGAAGTACTGATGCGTTCCACTTGCTCAGGATGGAAAGGGCACAGGGACTGATGCCCTATATCATGTTTCTGGCACAGAAGTACATCAGCGCCTGAACGCACGATTGTACGATATAATCGTGTTAATCCCCTCAGCCCGGAACGTATCAGGCTCAACCCACGCAAGGCCAGTCACGTTCGCGTCCCACACAATATCCAGCGGGCTCCCCACATCGTACGCTGGCCACAACGGCGTCCCCTCCTCCACATACGCGCCACTAGCCCTGAAGCTGTTCGGGTCCAGATCATGTATGAAGCTCGCCCACGACCTGCTCATCAGCTTCGCCAGCGCGAAGTAACTTTCGGGCACGCCCGCGAACGGGTCGGGCGAGACGTCGTACCCGTACCCGTCCGTGTTGTCAAAGACGAAGGCGACCTCCTGGAAGTGCGTCACGCCAACTTCGATTGGGACGCCGTTGGGCAGAGTGTTGAAGCGGTAGCAGTACGCGGTGTTTCCGCCGGCGGCGAAGACCTCACATTGGTACCGCCGCCCAGCAATAAATGTCGCATCGCCGGCATATGCGGAGGTGCGGCGCCATCTGTGGTGCAGGCATGTGTCATTGAGAGAGACTGTACAACCACGGGAAGATGAACGCACTGGAGACCCAAGATGTCGTTGAGGCGCGTACAACCAAGATCTTCTGGGATGCCAACGCACGGGTCGTCGGGATAGACGTCGATGATCTCCTCGGCGAGAGCGGGGGCAAGAGGTGTGTAGGGATGAATACTGCCCTCTGTATGACCGTCCTCTCAGACCATGCGTTACGCGGCTATCTGCAAACTGCTCACCTTCGAGCACTTGCAAGAACTGGGCCGTCGTGTTGATGCCTATCGGGCCAAACGCCGTCCCCTCGTCCGTATTCGTCCCGCAGATGATCGGCACATGGACGTAATCACCCGCCTCGAGCTGATAACTCGCCAACTTCGCAATGAAATCTCCGTCGATGACTGGGAACCATACGCTCGCGTTCGTCGTGTTCACCGCGGCGTTGATCGTGTCAAACGGCGTCATGCGGAGGCACGCGAGCACATCCGCCGCGGACGTGCACCCGACATTGTCGACGAGCGCCTGGTACGCGCCGTCGAAGTAGTCCGCGGTGTACATCCCGTTCCATTGGATGGAGTTGCCCGATTCCATGATCCCGGCGCGGAAGAGCCCGTCGTCTCGCCCGTTGTAAGCAACGAGGTGGAAGCCGACGGACATGCCGCCTGCGCTCTCGCCTGCGACGAGTAAACACAACTGAAGATGCGTACGATGTCCGAAGCACGTACCCCATATTGTGACTTTGGTTGGATCACCTAGCGAGCGTTCAGCATAGCATCCCACATCCGAGAGAGGTGGAGATACATACCGCCAAATGCACCGATGTTCTCTTGAATCCAATGCAAGGCCAGGCGCTGGTCTCTGAGGCCCATGTTTGTGCTACCCTCGCCGGCTAGCTGACCGGAAGCCATAAAGCCCCTACGTGTACTGGTCAGTGCCTGCGTCAGTCTCACGTTGTGATCGAAAAGCGTACCAAGCAGAAAGACGGTAGTTGAATGAGACGCCGATGAACGGCTTCCCGATCTCCACGCTGTTCTGCACGATGAACGAAAGGTTGTAGCGCTGATCTGGGGAGCCGCCCTCAACGAAGCTGCCACCCTATATACACATCTCAATTGGCATGTATGCCGACAGGCAACACAAGACTTGCGTAGATCCAAATGCCAACTGGCAGAGGCTCGTCGTAATCCGCGTAGTTTGAAGGACGGACGACGTTCAGATAGAGGCAATCTTCGCTGACATTGAAGCCCCATTGGTCGCTCTTCAACGGACATCCTCAGCATCCCGCATCAAAAAAGTGAAAAAAAAACACTCACGCCGTATCCTACACACTCCACACTGTACTCTGTCGCCTGACGCGTTCCGCCAAAGGATGTGTTCAGCGATCGAGGGTTAGCAAACCGCAGCGGGCCCACGGGCGGCTGGGCAAACGGCACGCCCAGGAAGAAGTCCTGATTGTAATCGGGGACATAGCGGCCGACGTATGTCCCATTCAGGGTCTCGACGGTCGGGGCGCTCGCTCCAGCTGTTAGTGTCGCGAACGCGAGCAAGGTCGTCGTTAGCAAGAGGAGCAGCAGACAGTGCCTCGACATTGGCACTAGTGCTGGGAGGTCCGGGGACAGCGTCGTCGGAGACAAGACTTGAGAGCAGAGTTCTCACTGATCCTATATTTATTGGAAGATTTCATGGGCCCGGGTAAGGAAGGCCGACCGCCTGAGAAGGCGAGAATGAACCAAGGACGTTGAGGATCGACGAGTCATGTGGCGACAGAATGGTCCCTCGCTGGTCCGAGTTATAGTGATCAACGCAATGTCGCCTTGAGTTCTATACCGAGCGTACCTTGTATAAGTTAGGGGTTGCGTGCCAATGGGCAAACTTCGGAAGATCTTACCACAGCCCCCTCGGACGTCGACCTAGTAAGTACGTCGACTCGCTCTGAGTCGGAGTCGCTCGACGTCTGCATCAATGTCCGCACCCATCCCGTTCAAAGCCATACGTCTCTTGCTGTGGAACAGACAGCGCGTTGGGGAGGAGCAAGCTTGCTAGTGAGAATTCCATGTCCGAGTCGGCGTGGCATTGATACGGCTAGTGGCATGAAGTGACTACAACGTCATGAATTGTCGACGAGGCCGAGACAGTTTGCGTATAAAAGCTGGGTGAGAGACTGAAGTAGAAGCATAGAACAGAACCGCACTGAATATTTGAGTACTTGAGTACTCAAGTACTCAAGAGTTGCTCACGGAGAAAGCAACGGAAATGGTCGAGCGTGGCCGCTTGGAGGAGGTCGCCACTGGCCGGCCCGCTTGGGCGCGAGGGGGATCGCGCCCACGTGACGGCTATATGGCGCGTCTCCGCCAGGTGGCACTGCATCGCAAAATTGGCATCAGACCGACGGCGACCTGACATGGCCAAAGCATCGATTAACAGAACTAACAGAACTAACAGACTGATGATGTGGCCGGAATAGGTGGGTTTTCGCCAGTAGATATTCGGTCATACTACAACAGGCTGTTAGACAATCAAAAGGCCGAGAGTCGCTGATCAACTTCCGTCAGAAGTACAATGCCCGACCATCGTTCGTTAGGATATGCAAGGCTAGTAAGTAATAAAACAGGGTTATTATAACTTGAGCAGTCTAGTGTTAGCCCAATAGTCTGCTGTTGATGCGACATTGCACTCCTCATTTGGCCGCACTTGGCGCTCGTATCGCCCGGAATAGATGAGGATCGAATCGCAATGTATTCGGCTAGTGACGACTACATATCCTAACTTACTAGTACTAGTATACAACACGAACTCGGACGATCACACCCTATGCCTGACCCGCCAGTGGATAAGGAGCCGCCAGCATCGGTATTGCTGAGCCAAGGCCCAAGTGCAGCCATGGGTGCCGTCACGGTGCTTGAAGTCGCCAGCGACTCGGAGGCTGTTTCCGCCGAATAGGTGGGCAGCCGAGCGGGCGAGTGGGTGCGAGCGCCGCCGAGCGCGAGAGAAAGCGCGAGCGAGAGACAGCCTCTGAAGTACATGGAAGGATGTGCGCACCGGCAGGTGTCACCGGCTGGCGGACAGCTGGGCGCGAGCGAGTGGGTGGGTGGATGACGTAAGCAGGCGAACGGGGCGAGCAGCTGAGCGAGCGAGAGTGCGGGCAGGGAGCGAGAGTGCTGGCGACGGCGACTGGGCGAGCAAATGAGCGCGACACGCTGATCGAGGGCGAATCCGGGGCGAGGTTCGCAAGTGGTTGCCTAGCGTCGGCATCGCGCTGGGCAATGTGAGTGACCGAATGTAAACGAATGAGAATATGTGACCCATGTGTAGAACGTTGAAGCAGAGACGACGTTGGCTATCCAGCACACGACGGTGTCTGCATGCAGGAGACGTCGTTGCCGTCCAGCGAGGGCCGACGGGTTTTGCGAGAGATGTGGACCAGCCAACAACTCGTGTGACGCGCACTAGCGTGGACGCAGCGCATTGCGACACGCCGTCCACGTTGGGCTGCTGCCGCGAGCACTGCAGGCCACCGGTCAAGTGACCGGGGAGCGACAGGCTCGGTAGCATCAGAGAGGGTGGACGGCGCGTCGGAGGTCGAGGATGGCGGGGAATAATAGTGAAGTGCTTACGCGCCTTGTAGGTATGCGGTTCTGCCTGCGACGCAGGACGTCGAGGGCCATGCACGTTGCTCGCGGCCGTCGAGGGAATGAGCTGTGCAGGGCGGCGGACGTGCAGGACACGAGGGTGGGGACGGAGTGCTGTACATAGTAGACACGGACGGCCAATGAATATGCATGTCAGTGCGGGAAACGGCGTGTGCAGAGCAGAGGTGAGTGCCAGCGAGTCAACTTACCGTGACTTAAAACACCCACTGTCGGAGTTGGGACTGCGTTTAGGGTAGACTGTCAGCAGTCTTTATGAGTGACGTTTTCGTGGAAAAATACTTACCGGCAAGTCTTACTTTCCCGACTTAGAACTTAGTGTGATTGGCGCCCGTCCGAACGCGCCGATGCGGTACTTGCCTAATCGGGATGAACATCGCGCCTGCCAGGGCCGCTGCGCCAGGCGTTTTCCCCTTATTCTCTTTCATGTATAATGTCTCTTCATAAATTTCATACGCCTTCTTTTATGTGTTGCATCACCTGTTCTCTTCGATATAGTGAGAACCACAGGCTCATGACTATGGCTCTCATCGGAGATTCTACTGAAGCATCCCGGGCCATACGTCTCGTCGATGATGAGGGTCATGAGGATGACATGCTGAGAGGAAGTTTACAGACTCCCTTCTATAGAATTATTAGTGGGCTTCCGGATTCGCCGTGCAATGAACAGCAGCGCGCATAAAGGCCCGCAGACAGAGTTGCCACAATTGGCTAATGATTCCGCATTAGGCAATTCACCAGCCCTCGAAGCAGAATCAAGTGATCTAGCATGAGCAGACAACGGATCTGTGACTCACTGTAATCTATATACAGTGTTAACAAGGCCAGAAATATCCATTATTGTAGAGACCAAGTGTACGAAACGGAGCGAATCTAAGTCCGAGGTGTACGGGTCACGTGTCAACTAAGTAGCAAATCTTACGCGATAACTAAGGCGTAAGTGTAAGTATTTTTCCGCGATAACGACCGTCATAGTCTTGCGCAAAATCCCCGCTGTCTTTCTTCCTGGCATGTCAAGCTCGGCATGTCCATTGCAGGTTGAGTCACCGTCACCATAGGTCTGTCAAAGTCCCGGCAGCCGTTTCACAACCTGATGGCAGAGTACTTACTAGCGAAACCTACTGGCAGAAAACGGACAATCTGTGGTCCAGTATAGCACAGCCAGACAAAGAACGAGCCAGCAGAGGTCAAGTTGTTGATCGCGCACCCGGGAACTAACAGACTGTCGTGAGGCGGGGCAGGGGCGACCGTAGTGATAGTAAACTAGCATTGCCTAATCAGGGCTTATGATCGTCGATTGGGCTTCCGCTCGTCGATAAGAGGAGGAGGAGGAGGAGGGTATTCCATTTAGTCACGACATCTAGACGCCTCGGCGTTTTCGATGTGTGACAGCGCTCACTAGGTACATGACTACCTCCAAACCCAACATACCCCTACTACCTAATCCTAAACTACCTAATCCGACTCCCACTATCGCATAATTACAATACTGTCCAAAGATGTACCTGGGAGTAACACCGCCGTGCAGATTCCGCGATGTGGCACTTGAAGGATAACTTCATGAAGAACGTCAGGCCACCCCGTACGCGTACGCCTATATTTAAACCGAGCCTTCGAAGAGACAGACTACATATACAGGATGCTCTGTCCGTTGCAGAACACATCTATGAGTGGCGTTTTCGTGAAAAATTACTTACTAGGTAGGTTGTACTCTTGTGTACTTAGTTATAGTGATGCGACTTACATTCGCGCGCGATGTGCGTCGCTGCTGGTCGCACTTTGCATGTTCCACTGTACTCGTACACTGTGACGACTTACTCATGCACTACGACGACTTACTCGTGCACATACCGACTTACTCGTGCACTGCGCCAACTTACTCGTGCGCTACACCGACTTACTCGTGCACTACACCAACTTACTCGTACGCTACACCGACTTACCCGTGCATTACGCCGACTTACTCGTGCATTACACCGACTTACTCGTGCACTACACCAACTTACTCGTACGCTACACCGACTTACCCGTGCATTACGCCGACTTACTCGTGCATTACACCGACTTACTCATGCACTATGTTGACTTACTCGTACACTACGCCGCCTTACTCGTACAGTATATACCCAGTTAACTCACTTTACCCGGCGTAGTCTGTACTTGGTAGCTGACTTACTCGTAGTGAGACTTACTCGTAGCAATCATACACTTACTGTAGCTGGCTTACTCGAGCCGCGGCGATCATACACTTAGCACTACTGACTTACTCCGAGTTGATACACTTACACCTTGCTGAATTACGCATTGATCGTACACTTACAGTCAGTTGACTTACTCGTTCAAGCTATCCGTGCAATCAGCTGGCTTGCTCGCAGTACATTCGTGGCCGGCGACTTGCCAGCGGCTGCATCATAGGGTGCGTCCGACAGGTGCTTGCCCACTGTTAACCCGATCTCTGATGGTGCCGCAGCTTTCACTGGCAGACAACGAACCCCAGCATCCTCCGAGTCCTTCAGGCTTGCCCTTCCGTTTTGCCGACCAGTATGGATCGCAACACCCGCGGAATCGATTCTTCTCGGGACCAGCAGCTCTTGAACGAGTTTCGTCTGCGGTATCATCAGTATGTGCGGAATGTTGAAGATATCACGGTGACCTCGTCCGACCCCATCAGGAAAAACCCATTTTCCTTGTTTGCACTTCATTCAATTTAATTGTGCCTCAAGCATCATCTTTGTGCTTATAGGCATCATGATGCGTCGAATGCATAAATATGTATAGATTGGTTGTATGCCAAACTGACTGAAGCCACATGAAGACCCCGTAAGAGTTGCAAATGCATAAATATGCACAGATTGACTGTATGCAAGAGTGACTGAGGCAACCTGAAGACCTCGTAAGACTCACTGACATCTTTGAGAGCGAAGAGAGTGAAGAATTCACATAGATCAGACAGTATGATGATGCAGGTTAGTTACTGAGACTGTAGAACTACCAGAACTACCCTACTCCTATCCTGGAGGCTTAGATGCCATCAACCTGGAGCTATATCGCTGCTGTCCATCCGTCCACTGTCCCCGCCCATCCGTCGTCTATCCGTCGTCCATCGATTCAGTCATAGTCGGGCAGTCCGTCGTCGTCCGTCGTCGCCCGTCGCAGTCCGTCGCAGTCCGTCGCAGTCCGTCGCAGTCCGTCGCAGTCCTCCGTCGCAGTCCGTCGCAGTCCGTCGCAGTCCGTCGCAGTCCGTCGCAGTCCTCCGTCGCAGTCTGTTGCAGTCCGTCGCAGTCCGTCGCAGTCCTCCGTCGCAGTCCGTTGCAGTCCGTTGCAGTCCGTCGCAGTCCTCCGTCGCAGTCCTTCGCAGTCCGTCGCAGTCGCCATCTGTCGTGCGTCGGTCGCTTTCCGTCGTCGTGCGTCGTCGTCGTGCATCGTCTATCCGTCGTCGTCCATCCGTCGTCCGTCGATCCGGTGTCCATCGATCCGCCCATCCGTCGTCTATCCGTCGTCCGTCCATCCGGTCATAGTCGGGCAGTCGATCCGGTCATAGTCGGGCAGTCCGTCGTCGTGCGTCGTCGTGCGTCGGTCGCTTTCCGTCGTCGTCGTGCGTCGTCGTCGTGTGTCGTCGTGGTGCGTCGTCGTGCGTTGCGTCGTGGTGCGTCGTCGTGCATCGTCGTGCGTCGTCGTGGTTCGTTCGTCGGTCGCTGTCGCGCTGTCGCCGTTCGTTGCTGTCGCCGTTCGTCGCTGTCGCCGTTCGTCGCCGTCGCCGTTCGTCGCCGTCGTCCGTCGCTCGCCGTCCTTCGTCCGTCCGTCGTCGATCAATCCTCCATCCGTCGTTGTCGCCCTCCGTTGTCCTTCGTTCTCAGTCGTCGCCGGTCGTCGCCCCAGCCCGTCATCCGTCCGTCGTTCGCCGACCGAGCCCGTTGAGCGCCTCGATGCGCTTGCGCTTCCGCTGTGCCTCATCCTCCGCCGTGAACTCCTCCCCCTCATTGACCATCCGCTCGATGTCGTCGGGCGACAGGCGGCCCTTTTCGGACGTGATGGTAACAGAGTTCGACTTCCCGCTGTGGGCAAATTAGTCACGGCTCTACCCGCTTACAAGGAAGCGTCACTCACGTTCCCATGTCCTTCGCGAAGATCTTCATGATACCGTTCGCGTCAATTTCGAACGTCACCTCGATCTGCGGGACACCGCGGGGCGCGGGTGGGATGCCAGAAAGCTCGAACTTGCCGAGCAAGTTGTTGTCCTTCGTCAACGACCGCTCTCCCTCAAAGACCTGGATCAAAACTGTAGGCTGGTTGTCTGTGGCCGTCGAGAAGCTAGATTCGTGGGCGTCAGCACGCGCCCGCCCCCGCGATCAATGAAAGACTCACATTTGGCTCTTGCGCGTGGGAATGACGGTGTTGCGGGCGATGAGCTTGGTCATCACGCCGCCAGTGGTCTCAATACCGAGCGTAAGCGGGCAGACATCGACAAGGACAATGTCACCGAAATCCTCGTCACCCGATAGAATTCCACCCTGGACGGCGGCACCGTACGCGACGGCCTCATCGGGGTTGATGCCCTTCGACGGCTCCTTGCCAAAGTACTCCTTGAGGAGCTGCTGGACCTTGGGGATACGAGTCGAGCCACCAACAAGGACGACCTGAGGCAAACATAAGTCAGCAGCTCGCGAGTCTACTGCGTCGAATACACATAATGGGGTCAAAATGTCGGTTTGTTACCCGGCCACCCAACATGAGATTCACCTATTGTTGCCCGGCCACCCGACGTCGGCCGACAGTCTGACTCGGCCATTGTTGTCCGGTCGGCCGAGGCATCAAACAATCAAAATCTGCCCGGGCGGCCGACAAGGTGCCATTATCCCCCGGATTATCCAGCAGGCGATGCTTGCATTGTTCCCGGAGCGGCCGACACTGGACAAATGGTATCCTCCCCGGGCGGCCGAGGGTCAGAAATACCAATCCTGCCGGGTCGGCCGATGGTCATACAATGCAATCCTGTCCGCCTGGCCGACATCAGGAATCTGCATACACAGCGGGTTGGCCGACAGGCTGTGTTCACTCAGGAATTGCATCCATAGCAGGTCGGCCGGCCACAGGATTTTGGCTTCCGAGGACAGGTTTCCGAGGTCGGGCTTCCCAGACTGGGCTTCCGAGCCCGGACATCCAACACCGGACATCCGACACCGGACGCCCGCCACCGGAAGCCCGCCACCGGACATCCCGGGTCAGGCATCTGGGACCGGGTGACTGTGCTTTTAGGATGCTCTTCAGTGGATTCATTAATCAAGCAGTCCCTATGTGCAGAACAATGTAAATGTGATGCACTGATTGATTTCCGAGTATTTCCTTCCCAATCTGGATACCTCCTTCCTAATCCGGACTGGGTAGACCATCCGGATGTGCATAGCTACCACTGGAAGTCTGAAAACATTTTTTGAACACTTCCTGTGTACAGGACAGCGCAAATGCACTCTGATTGCCAAAGTGAATGATTTCCGGACACTGCCTGCCAAATCCGGACACCTCCTTCCTAATCCGGACTGAATGGTTCTGTCCGGCTTCGGACACCCGCCACCGGACGCCCGACACCGGACGTCCGAGCTCGGAAGTCCGGATTTATTAACTACATACTTCATGTGTGCAGAAATCATTTTCCGGTGTGTAAGTGGTCAAGTAATCATTTGCTGAACATTGCCTTCCAAATCCGGACTGTCCGCTTCGGGCGCCCGAGTTCGGACACCCGACGTCGGACGCCCGAGCTCGGACGCCCGACATCGGACGTCCGACATCGGACACCCGAGCTCGGAAGCCCGAGTCCGGATTTATTAACTGCACATTTCCTGTGTGTAGAAATCATTTTCCGGTGTGTGAATGCATCCCTGTGGTCAAGTAATCAATTGCTACACATCTCCTTCCTAATTTGGACTGTCCGGCTTCGGACACCCGAGCTCGGACACCCGACATCGGACGCCCGACATTGGACGTCCGACATCGGACGTCGTCCGGGTTCGGACACTGGAGCTCGGAAGCCTGAGAAGTCCGGATTTATTGACCACACACTTCCTGTGTGTAGAAATCATTTTCCAGTGTGCAAATGCATTCCTGTGGTCAAGGAATTGTTTGCTGACCATCTCCTTCCTAATCCGGACCATCCGGATTCGGACACCCGAGCTAGGGCGCCCGAGATCGGATGTCTGAGAGCGGAAGTCCGGATTTATTCAGTAATCACTTCTGTTGTACATAAGTTGTTTTCTGGTGTGTAAAAGTGTTTCATTCATAGACTCTAGTATTGAGTTCCTAATGTCTAAGGATCTTTACTTTGGCTACAACATGCAATGCAAGATTTACTCACAGGCTTGTTTCCAAACATACTATTCAACTTCTGAAGCCAATATTGTTTGCCCACAATATCTGACTATCTAGAATGTGTTCTTTCAAAGTATAGAGCAAATCCCCAACAGGAATAGTCTTATTCTTTGAAGCTGAATGCAAGAGCAGAGATAAGGAATTGTGTAGTGTATGGAATATGTGCCATAACATGTTCACTGCCTGCAGCCAAACTACATTCAAAACAATGTTTGACTATCTAGAATGGGTCATTTACACACAAGGAGTGAGTCTTCCAAAGGAATAGTCTTATTCACCCAAGCTGAAAGCTGGGCAAAGATAAGAGGAATGTGAGTGCATTGTGAAGCATACAAAACAATGCTACAACATCAATCTTGAAGTTACTGCAACACCACAAGCAAAATAGCATACACATCACACTACTGTATTACTCCAATGAACTACTCATACTAGAGTCTACATGGTGCTGTTCTTAACAGTCAATGAAAGTGAACTGTCATTGACAGCCTGATACACATTGGGTACTACAGGGTCAATATGAAGCACTACACATCCACTTTATGAAGGATTACTGGATTTGGAAGGTTACTCACCATTTAAGGCAATGCAAACTTTTGTGAACCTTCTCGTGCAATAGCCCTCCCATATACCTTGGGTACTACAGGGTCATTATTCCATGTAGCATTATTCTAATACATGACTATATTTCATTTTCTTTGTCATGTTACTGATGAACTGTATACCTATTACCTAAGTTCATATTCAAATCACACACACTAACTCATCCATAGTTCTGTTGTTCCCTCATGACATAGTGTTGCTAGTCTTATATTGACAACAGACAAGGGTACACACTACTGAATCCAGATAGTATCTTGTATCAAGGGAACTACATTACAACCTCTGATTCAACAACTCACAGTAGCAGACACACTGGCATGCTGCCAGTAACAGCTCACTGGTAAAAGTCAATAGACAGTCTGAATTGAAAGGACACACAATAATGTCACTACATTGACAATAGGAAAGCCATTACACACCAGAAAGTGATAAACAAACAGCAGAAGTGATTAATGAATGAATCCGGACGTCCGATGTCGGGCGTCCGATGTCGGGTGTCCGATGTCGGGTGTCCGAAGCCGGACAGTCCAAATTAGGAAGGAGATGTGTAGCAATTGATTACTTGACCACAGGGATGCATTCACACACCGGAAAATGATTTCTACACACAGGAAATGTGCAGTTAATAAATCCGGACTCGGGCTTCCGAGCTCGGGTGTCCGATGTCGGACGTCCGATGTCGGGCGTCCGAGCTCGGGCGTCCGACGTCGGGTGTCCGAACTCGGGCGCCCGAAGCGGACAGTCCGGATTTGGAAGGCAATGTTCAGCAAATGATTACTTGACCACTTACACACCGGAAAATGATTTCTGCACACATGAAGTATGTAGTTAATAAATCCGGACTTCCGAGCTCGGACGTCCGGTGTCGGGCGTCCGGTGGCGGGTGTCCGAAGCCGGACAGAACCATTCAGTCCGGATTAGGAAGGAGGTGTCCGGATTTGGCAGGCAGTGTCCGGAAATCATTCACTTTGGCAATCAGAGTGCATTTGCGCTGTCCTGTACACAGGAAGTGTTCAAAAAATGTTTTCAGACTTCCAGTGGTAGCTATGCACATCCGGATGGTCTACCCAGTCCGGATTAGGAAGGAGGTATCCAGATTGGGAAGGAAATACTCGGAAATCAATCAGTGCATCACATTTACATTGTTCTGCACATAGGGACTGCTTGATTAATGAATCCACTGAAGAGCATCCTAAAAGCACAGTCACCCGGTCCCAGATGCCTGACCCGGGATGTCCGGTGGCGGGCTTCCGGTGGCGGGCGTCCGGTGTCGGATGTCCGGTGTTGGATGTCCGGGCTCGGAAGCCCAGTCTGGGAAGCCCGACCTCGGAAACCTGTCCTCGGAAGCCAAAATCCTGTGGCCGGCCGACCTGCTATGGATGCAATTCCTGAGTGAACACAGCCTGTCGGCCAACCCGCTGTGTATGCAGATTCCTGATGTCGGCCAGGCGGACAGGATTGCATTGTATGACCATCGGCCGACCCGGCAGGATTGGTATTTCTGACCCTCGGCCGCCCGGGGAGGATACCATTTGTCCAGTGTCGGCCGCTCCGGGAACAATGCAAGCATCGCCTGCTGGATAATCCGGGGGGATAATGGCACCTTGTCGGCCGCCCGGGCAGATTTTGATTGTTTGATGCCTCGGCCGACCGGACAACAATGGCCGAGTCAGACTGTCGGCCGACGTCGGGTGGCCGGGCAACAATAGGTGAATCTCATGTTGGGTGGCCGGGCAACAATGGATAGTTTAGCTAGATGGGCTCTCGAATACCCACCTCATCGACATCCTCCTTCTTCAGGTGCGCGTCCTTGAGCACCTGCTCAACCGGCTTCATCGTCTTCCTGAACAGATCCATGTTGAGCTCCTCGAACTTGGCGCGAGTAAGCGTCTCCGAGAAGTCATTGCCATTCTCGAAGCTTTCGATCTCGACGCGGGTCGACTGCTGGCTCGAAAGCGTGCGCTTCGCCTTCTCGGCCCGAGACCTCGGTCCCCGTCTTCTTCTTGTACTGCTTGATGAGATAGTCCATCACGCGGTTGTCAAAGTCCTCACCACCGAGGTGGGTGTCACCAGCAGTGGCCAAGACCTCGAAGACGCCGTCGTCGATTGAGAGCAGCGAAACATCGAAGGTACCACCACCGAGATCGTAGACGATAATTTGAGATTCGCCGCCCTTCTTGTCGAGACCATACGCGATGGCAGCGGCCGTGGGCTCGTTGATGATACGGACGACCTGGAGACCGACGATGGTGCCCGCATCCTTCGTGGCTTGGCACTGAGCTTCATTGAAGTCTGCACACGTGGTCAGTAGTATATTAGACAAAAAGACGTGAGCTACAACACTTACATGCAGGGACAGTGACAACGGCGTGCGTGACAGTCTATCCGAGGTATGCCTCAGCGGTCTCCTTCATCTTGCTCAAGACCATGGCCGAGATCTCCTCCGGGGTCTGACACGCACGCGTACCGCGAGTAGTCATTCCGGACACTCTCTTCTTCCGGTACTTAGTTTTGATACCGTGCGGCACGCGCCTTCTTTGCCGGTGGCAGGTCCTGACGAATGAGACGGGGTTTGGAGGGAAGTTGAGGGGAAGAGGCCGAAGATATTGGCGGCGAAGGTGGTGGCGATGGGATCAGTGGTGATTTCAGTAGGTCAAAGGGTGGTGAAGATAGAGCTCTGAGCCTTTGACGACGATGGTGCTTCTGTGTCGTACGTATGCGCTAGCGAGGTCGCCTGGCGAGCGTGTGCTAGGCCCGTTGCTGGAGCAGGAAGGCAGGGGCTTTGTGGCCGCCGACGGTGTCCCTGGACGATGCGGGCGACCTGGAGCGGGCAACTTGGACTCCGAGTCCAACTTGGAGCGGGCGACTTGGAGTGACGTCGCCTGGCAAGTCAGGTGAGCATTCCGCTTGACGCCTGTCGATCGCCACGACCGCTCACTACTCGGGCAGCCAAGACTAGTCTGACTACCGCTCTCACCTTGACTCTATCTTCGATGCTTAGACTGTGGCGGTTTCTGTCAGCTCATAGTCCCGCAGCTTGGGCGATACGCAACCCGGCTGTGAGACCGGGAACTCACACGACGCGAACGCAGCGCCGAGTGACAAGATCGCTCAGAACAAGACGCCGAATACGGATCTGAAATGGAGTGAGAGGACCGCGAAGGAGACGGTGAGGTAAGGTGCCGCGAAGACGAGCGGGAGAGCTCGCAAGGCCACGCACCGATAGTGCAGCTCATGAATGGGACTCCGGTAAGCAGGAATTTGATCGCTCGCTCGCCAGTTAGCTCGTCCACTGTCCACTCCGTGCCCTTGTCAGCTCGCCCGCAAATCAGTTCGCTGTAGCATACGTCTAACCGTTCGCCCGCCCGCGCGCCCATCTGCCTACCCGTCTGCTCAGCCGTCTACTAGCCCTGAGCACCCCCGACGGTCCGTGTCGCAGTGCTTCGTATGGGCATCGCTGATGTTACGTCTAGCAGAACGAGACCGACGCACCGATAGGACGAGCCCAAGCTCAGTACGATGCAGCTCATGAATGGGACTCTGGTAAGCAGGAATTTGATCGCTCGCTCGCCAGTTAGCTCGTCCACTGTCCACTCCATGCCCTTGTCAGCTCGCCCGCAAATCAGTTCGCTGTAGCATACGTCTAACCGTTCGCCCGCCCGCACGCCCATCTGCCTACCCGTCTGCTCAGCCGTCTACTAGCCCTGAGCACCCCCGACGGTCCGTGTCGCAGTGCTTCGTATGGGCATCGCTGATGTTACGTCTAGCAGAACGAGACCGACCCAGTCTGAAGGATCTGCCGGAGTACCCAAGCTTAAAGCGTCTCGACGTGTGAGTAAGGCTGCTGCTGACCGCCTCAGGCCGACGCCCGACACTGACGTGCACGAGCAGGTACCGTAACCGCCTCAACGAGTGGTGTCATTATCGCATCAACTCCAAAGAGGGCTTTCAAGCAATGGGTGGTGATCTGCTGCACGTCGTGGTGCGCTGGTGCGCGAGTACGCATGGTTGTGCAGGTTGTGCACTTAAGCACAAGTACAATGTGTAGCACGCTCTCTCTCGATGTTCAGATAGTTCAATACATTTCGTTCGATCTGCTTAGTCCATCGTGCGAGCGTAAGAGGTACAAAAGTCACAATCGAAGCAAAGCATGTTGAGAATGATTCTACCAAAGGGTCTGGTATGCGTACTTCGATGCCCAGTGATTAAGCCAGAATTTGTGAGCCCTGTCTAGTACGTTATTGGTGTTCCAGTCATAGGGTAAGGTGTCTCTAGTAACATTATGTGGTGTTCGAGGGGGACGTGGAGCTAGCTGACAGGATTGGCGAATGATAGACAAGGGAATAATCTCACCGACCGGCTTGCCATTCGAGCGAAGGGGAGGTTTGTGTATCGTATACATCATATGTACGGGATCTGCTTGAGCTTCTAACTTGGAGAACCACTCAACGTATGCAAGTGGCCCCTGGCTAGCCCAATTCAATGGTGCTTGTAGCGGCCGGAGGGTTCGAGGATCTTTGAGGTCGCGAGGTAACTTGAATATAACCTTGACACGACCTATTCTAGTACCTGTAGATATATGCCAGTTAGAACGCTAAGACGTTAGTAGGTGAGACTGCAGACCTTGCAAACCGGTAGCTTCTGCGTCCTCTCCTTGCAGCACAACCACCGTATCGAAACGCGCGGCTTGTCGAGCTGTGGCAGGCTTAGCTTTCACAGCATCCGTCTCCTGGGTGTCGTCGGTCAAAGGTTCTGGAGCAAACTTGAAGCCGTGGAACACGTCGACACGGTTGAACGGCATGCGATCGACGGCATTCTGAAGCTGGGAGGAGGTGAGGGCGCGACCGTTGTTCTTAAGCTTGTATATATGTTGTGCGAGTGCGTCAATGAAACCGGGAGCGCAGTGTTTGTCGACGATGGTTGGGAGGGCCTGGAGGGGTGCTGTTGGGTGTTTGGGGAGCTTGATTCGACCGTTGCGACACGAAGGCTGGTCGACTTCGCCTGCGACATGCTCGTCGACTTCGCCCGCGACACGCTCGTCGACATCCTTGTCTTGCTCGCGACCTGTGCTTCTGAGCCAGCGATGGATGGATGATCGAAGAACCACCATTTTCTCCTGTCGCACCAGCCAACGCACCATCTGCGGGCGCGCGTCGCGATGGTTCGATGCCCTCCATCCATTTTTTGCGTAGTCTATGTGGAGGCGTTCAAACGCCTCCGTGTTGTAGTTGTCTGTAGTGCCTAACAGTCGAATGGCGTCAACATAGTGGAGTAAAGAATGAAATTTGGGGATGTTAAGGTGCTCGCGCACTCCCAGGTCGACAAGGACGTGCTTGTTACGGTGGAATGTCTTGAGGGCATCCTCCATGTACTGGAGCGTCGTATCATCGTGGGTAGTGTATTGGGCGAGATAGATGAAGTCCAAGATGGACCTAAACGCCAGGATGACCTGCTGAGGTACCTTGCCTACAAGACAAGCGAGGAGTATCCTCGCCATGTGCTTGCGCTCGGTACCGGAAACTTGAGAGAGGCTTGAAAATCCGTTTTTGAAGTGGCGAGTACCGAATGCTGGCGGAAGGCAACGAATGCGCCTGTCAAGCTCGAGCTCGTCGACGAGTTCAGTACACCATTCAACTATGTGTTTGAAAACTCCCTGGTAGAGTTGATGGAGGACGTCAGGGGTAATACAAGAGTGGATGTCTGTGTAGGGTAGATCGCGCCAAAACGGACGCACGACATAGCCCGATACGTTGAGGTCTTGGCACACTCGTGTGTACGCATTAGAGCTTGTGTTCCCTTGGGTTTTCTCCTCGGCTTTTCGTAGGACGTCTAGAGTCCAGAGGGACGTTCTGGGCGTGCCAGGTTGGGCGGATCCTAGAAGGTCCTCTGGAACTTGGCATTTGGGGCAAGTTCCGGACTTAGCGCAGGTGACCAGACATTGTTCTGGGTAATCTGCAACGTAGGCTGCAAGAATGGGGTGAACTCGACGGACCTCTCCATTGCCAGAGGTAACGTCGATGCCTTCTTTTCCTGCCTTGACCAGTGGTTCCAGGATTGCTCGTACTGACGCATGGAATAGTTGCTGAACTAGAGCGCGTTGCTTGCGCTGAGTGATACCGTCAGAGCTGACCTTGTCGACGGAAAGATAACCAATGAGAATACATGCATGCTCAGATGGCTTGCGCCTCAGAGCACGCGGTATATTGCCCAGCGTCATGTAGACTGGGTAAGCCGCCTTGTTTCCTGAGAATTGGGTGAGCTGCGTTTTGTCGGTCGCTATAATGACCGGCGCAACTGCAGCTCCTTCAGGTAGTAGACTCTTGTTCTTGAATCAGCAATCGGTATATGCAAACTGATGCTGACCGCTCACCTGGACAGCGTGCCACCAACGCCCCGTCCACATTTCATTGTACAGGCGATGTGTCCTCGACGCATCAGAGAAAATCCGCCTAGGTCGATAGACGATGTGATCGGCATGCTCCGGGTTTCCTAGCAAAGTCCTGATTGCTTGAATAATATCGCGGAACTGGAGAAGATGCTTCTCGTTCGGACGGTCCTTGAACGAGAGGCATCGTTCCATCCACTCAGCCCTGTCAGGAAGAGAGTCCACGCGTTGCAGGAGAGAGCGACTGTTGTGATACGAGAGGCCGAGTCTCTCCTGGAACTGAGGCGTGTAAGCAAGTATTAGTATGCACACCTCGTAGAACTTGGAATACAACTACTCACCCCAGGAATCTCTAACGCCCTGTCAATAGATCCCAAGGTAAGTCCTTCCTGGATGAGCCCATCTAGCTAAACTGTCCATTGTTGCCCGGCCACCCGACATGAGATTCACTTATTGTTGCCCGGCCACCCGACGTCGGCCGACTGTTCGACTCCAGCGGTCGGTTCCCGGTGGGCCGACCTGTCTGACGGGCGTGTCAGGACCGACGCGGCCGACACCACCAGAAGATAATGATAGAGCGATTCCATCCGTGGCGGCCGACGTACCAGACTCTGGCAACATTGTCGGATCGGCCGACATTGAATGCATTCAATACTAACGGGTCGGCCGGCGTCCGATCTGATCATGCATGTTAGGCGGGCCGACTATTGCAACGCGCTAGCGCAGCTTTGATATTCCAGTCAATCGCTGTGTTGGCGGGTCGGCCGACGCTCAGACAACCCACTGGTGCAGTGTCGGCCGACCCCATTGGCACCCGCACGGCCGTCATTCAAATCACACATCAAGTACTAGTCGGCCGTTGAATGTGTCACTCGGTACCACCCCGCCGGCCAGCATGAGACTTGCTTTATTCTGCGGGTCGGCCGATGTGAGACTCGAACATCATTCACCAGTCGGCCGGCATGAGACCTGACGTTGGTAGCGAGTCGGCTGACTCCGCATCGACTAATCATACTCTGCTCGGCCTTCCACTTTCACCCCCATCCTGTCCGTGCCGGCGCATAATTATCCGCTGGTAAACCTAGTGTCCATCGTTGGACATGGGAAGTGTCGGTCAGTCATGCAATGCCAACTGGCGGACCGGCCGACATGACACTCATGATTGCACAGGCTCTCTGGGACGCTACGGCTCCGATGTCGTTACCCGCCCTCCTTTTTGAGAATTTGAGCATGGTGACATATTTCAAATACATTGGAGCATAACCCGGAAGCCAAATTTACTTTACACATATACTACTGCTCGTCCGCGGGCCCATAGTACTTCGCCATTTTGGCGAGAATCGCGCCACTCCGCCTGTTTGCCCGCTGCAGCTCACGTAAAGCCTCCAATCGCGCACGGAGGACAGTGCCTTGCTGAATGTCGTGTTGCAGCATTCGGGGCGCCGGCCCGTCGTAGTGGGGGCCCTGCGTGTGGTTGCCCTCAACTGCGGAGTGACGTTAAATTCCACTGAAAGAAGAAATGTCGAACAACTTACATTGACCTTCCTCTCGGGGCCCCACGACGGAGCGCCACGGTCCAGGAACCCCTGGTGTGAACAGCTTTCGGCCGTTAGATTCGTCGTTCAAGCGGAAAAGCAGCCCTTTTCCTACACAACAGATCGTCGTCAGCTTGATGAACATAGTCATGCCGCCTCCCGAGGGCACTAGCATGCGGTTGTATATCCGCGTTCGGGCGTCCGACATCCGGCTTCCGAAGTCGCGCAGCCGAAGTCGGGCGGCCGAGGTCGGATGAATTGGAATATGATGGTGACCGCTTACCTTTCGTCTGTGGAATGGGCCTCCAGTCCTGCCCTTCAATTTGTGCCGGTGAACCCATCGGCTCGTCAACCACGGCCTCTGGCATGTTGACTGCACTCCCGGGGACTGACCGAGGAGGGGTTGTTGTCAGCGCCGGGCCATCGTCATTGGTTGCAGCAGACGGGGTCATTTGCAAGGCCGCAGATGGCCCAGTAGATGCCCCCATTTCCGAGTCAGCATCAACTGCGGAGGGATGTCACATTTCAAATGATAAAAGAATTATGAAACAACTTACATTGACTTTCCACCAGAGGCCCAACAGAGCCCGACGGCCCAGGAACCCCTTGCGCATACGGCGTTCGGCCTTTAAGGTCTTTCCCGAAGGGGAAAACAACACCTTTTCCTATAAAACATATCAATGTCAGCGTGATAAACATAGACACACCACGAAAACCAGGCACTACCATCCGGCTGGTCGTCCGACTTCGGCCGCGACGGTCCATGATCCCCTCCCAAGACAGGAATTCGCTTTTTCCTGTTAAACCCGACGAGAAAGCCTTCAGCTACAGAATGTATTAGTCTCAGATTTATCAACATAGAGTGGTCACCAAGCGAGGGGGGTGCCCTCAGCTGGCCGTCGACAGCGGGCGTCCGACATCGGGCGTCCGACAGCGGGCGTCCGACAGCGGGCGTCCGACAGCGGGCGTCCGACAGCGGGCGTCCGACATCGGGCGTCCGACAGCGGGCGTCCGACAGCGGGCGTCCGACGCGGGCGTCCGACATCGGACGGCTGACCTCGGCTGTGTGAGAAGGTGACCATGACTACTTACATTTCTTCTCGTCGAACGGCTTTGCAATGTCAGGCAGTCTTTGCCATGTCTTCGCGATGTCGGGCAGTCCGCGCCAATTCTGCGGATGTGCGGTTGCCGGTAGACCACGTCGCTCTTCAACCAGAGACCTTTCCAGGCTTATGGGACTCCCGAGTGCGGATGGAGAACGCGTCTTCTTCTCCATACCATCGGCCTTTGTTGAGCGCGGCGATGTTCTGGGAACCGCTGAAGGCGACGTGAGACGCATCCGCGGTTCCATGTCGGAATCAGTGTCCTCCGTGCTTGAAACGTCAATCGGTGTTGCACCCCGGTAAGGAGGGGACTCTGTAACCTCCAACGAACGGAGGGCGGACAGAGCCATCACTGCCTGCCTAGCCGGGGCATTGAGAGGACCGTCGTCCGGCTCGGAACCAGTATCGTCGTCACTTGAAATCTCGATCGGGATAGGGAGATTGGGGCGCTGCCTATTTGAGGTTGAACCCCGCATGGATGTCCCCAGCGACGCCCGTCGAGCCGGGACAAAGACCGCACCGTCTCCCGCCTCAGATTCAGTGTCGTCACCGCTTGAAATCTCGATCGGGACAGGAGGTTTGGCGCCGGGCGGATTTCCCTCCACACCACCGACATTTGACTCACCAACCAATACCATCCCATGTTCCGCCATGCGTACGGGTGCCGATGTGGGAGTGCTTCGTGATCGTCTCGGCATGATAAAGACGGCAGTCTCCAAGCCGTCTTCATCGGAGTCCGCATCCGACATCTCCAGCGCGCCGAGGCCGGTGGCACCGACAGACGAGGTACTCACTGCATGCCTTGCGGGTGTGTCGTCCCGGCCATCCGGTTCGAGGTCACTCGAAACGGGGATGGGCGAGGCCTCCCGGCCCTGGCTTCGAATTTTCTGAGCCCGGCGATTCGCGGGCGGCTGGGGCATCACAAACTGGCGAGGGGGTGTCACCGGCGGACCGCTGTCCTCCTCCGAAATGACCATGGCCTGTGGCCCGGTACCGGTATCGGCCCCCGGTATTCCTGGCCCACCATCCGGCGTGGTGTCCTGTACTATGCATCAGCTACCCGGCGCTATGTCCGGTGGGACCTGCTTACCATTGTATCCACATTGGGCCCACGCTCAATCGTTTTCGCCCTAGCAGGTATGACATACGGCACTAAGGGACACAATATAAGCCAATATTCATGCCACAGCGTCTACCAATCACTATCCGACATACCTAACTCATCATCCCCTCACTATCATCCTGAGTGAACAAGCCCGGTGAGCAGATCATGTCATTGGGCCAGTCAACACAAAACTTACCAAGTCCGAGGGTGGGAGGTCATCGATCTGCTGAGCCGAGCTGCCACACACCTGCCGACCGCCCGACATCTCATCGTCTGGTGCCGGCGAACCAACCGAACCTGGACATAGAACCGTTATTAGCTGCCCTCTCGCCCGTGCAACACAGGTACATACCGTCTTTACGCTTCATTCTTGCGATCACCGAGGTGGACATGGTGGTAGTATTTGATAGACCTTGGTTCAGATCTCATCAGTGAGATCGATCGGATGGTCCGCGGCGCGGCTCAGCCACACACCACGTGTTTGTGGCTGCGTTCCCACCATCGGCTGCTGGCACACGGCGCTTACACGTCTCTCTTGAACTTGCTCTACATCATCCCCTCCTCCGTGTCTCGCTCCGCTGCTCTATCCGCTACCTCGGCTTCGCGTACGTCATGGCCTCAGCAAGCAACCCTGTTCCGACCGAAGACGGCCCGAAGCTCGTGACGGAAGAACAATACAAAGCCCACATGGCCTTCTGTGAGGGAAAAATCGCGGGATTAGTGCAAGCATGGCGGAGTACGGCACCGAGCGAAACAAAGCAAATGAGCAAATTAGTGAGTGTGCTTGTTCCGCCCCAATGAAACTGCTCACCCTCGACTCCTGGAACAGTGGAAGAAGCTCTACAAATGGGTGGTGAGTTTCTCGGGTGATTGTTCGTGTCCTAGTATTCTCACATGTCTGCCAGACGGACGCGGGCGCGGCCGCCAGTATCACGGACGAGCAAGGGTGGGATGTGGACATGCCGTCGTTGGTGATATCCGGGATGGAGGAATTGGCAGCCCCAGCGGATATGGATCTCTATCGACGGTTCGCTCGAATCAAACCGAACGACCCGAGGATCGCGAGCAATGAGTGGTATACGGGGTTCCAAGACCCTCCTTCCCCTGCCAGGGAGCCGTCGCCTGTCCCGGCCGCGCTGCGACCGATTCCCACCGCTCCCCGCCCGCAAACGGGTGTTGCGTTCGCCCTCCCACAGCATCAAGGCGACGACATGGAGGTCGACGACTCGGGCGAACCGGAAATCAGCCCAAGGCCCACCATCCCCCTGCCCCGTCAACACACGAAGGCCACAAAGACGTCGGCAAAGCCGTCCAAACCCGCCAGCCGCGGTGCCGGTGTGCCGAAGAACACCAAGATGGGTGCGTCCGTCAAAGGGAAGGGCAAGGAGCAGGCGATCACCGTCGATTCCGATGCGGACGATGACCGGGAGCCGCAGCAGGTGGTGCCAAAGACGAAGACGGCCCCGAGCATCAAACCGAAGCCGAAGAAGCGGGCGGTCAGTGTCCGCGAGGTGGAAGAGAACGACCAGCCGGAACCACGGGGGCCGATGAAGAGGACGACGGCCGCCAGCAACGCGAAGGGAAAGGAGCGGGCGGTCAGTATCCCCGAAGAGGAACAGGACGACGAGCCGGAACAGGCTGTGCCGAAGAAGACGACGGCGGCGGCCAGCAAAGGGAAAGGAAAACAGCGAGCTGAGAGCGTCGTCGCCGACGATCAAGACGACCGGGTACCGCACAGTGAGTCGTGGATCCCTGAGTCTAATGTATACCTACCTCAACCTCTTCGGCAGAGAGTGTTCCGGTCCGCCCAATCCTCAAGAAGGCGGTGTCGGAGATCCCCTCCGAATCCGAGCCGGATGTAACTCCCGGCATGGACCTCGAGAACCGGATCGAAGAGGCCATCGAAGTCGATGATTACCGGACTCTCGTCAAGATCTGCAAAGCTGAGCGCGCGCGGTTGAATTGGGAGAGTTTAATTGGGCGGGCTCACACAACAAGCGGCGTGAGAATTGGATTCGCCTCATGGTAAGTAATGTAGCTTGTTCATCCGTCCGCGGATCTGAACACCATTGCAGGACACGAAGTGCCAGCGGTGCCATTCAATGCACTGCTGGATATCAGTGACCCCAGAAGAGACGTCACGACATGCGACGAGTGCTTCCGCAAGCATAGGCCCTGTGTCCCCTTCGACGCGGAGGTCCCAGTTGACCCCGAGTCCGGGAGGTCCCGCTCCCGATCGCGCACTCCGTCGGCGGCGAAGGCTAACCCTCGGAAGCGAGCCCGATCTGCGTCAGTGGCGTCAGTGGCCACTGTGCCCCCCGACACAGACCCTGATGGCGGGGCGGACTCCGACACCGCCTCCGTCGCAAGTACGTCCTCCCGACGAAGCACGCGCATAACCCGCCGCCCGTCAAAGCGGCCCCGCATCGTGTCCGAGCCAGCGAAGCGGACGTGCGGACGCTCGCAGAGCAAGCGGAGGGATGCTACGGTAGAACTACAAGTAGTCGAGACCCCCGTGGGACGACCCCCAGCGACGTCGCCGGCCCTTCAGGCAGAGGACCTCAAGTCCAGCGACCAAGGGCAGTCCCGGCCTACATCGGTTTACCTCCGTCCCGTGAGTCCTTCGTGTTTGTTCGTTGTGAAATGTGCTGATAATGCTCAGGTTTGGCCTCTCTCCTTCCGTGCAGGAAGGCGAGCGGTTTGTGAGCCTCGAATCGTCGAGTGCTATCTCGCGGGAGCTCCACACCTTGCGACGGGAGAATGTAGAGCTCCGCGATAAGTATGATCAGCTTCGGCGGGACTTCCAGGATCTGTGTGCGCACCTCGGTGTCGAAGGTACGTGTGACCGGGGCACAAGTAGCGACTTACTCACCGGTCAGTTGCAGGGCGTTTCAACCACGACATGTGCCCGATGGCGCTGGAGGGCCCTCTGCCGCGTCTGGTTCCGGTAGCCGTCCGGATCCCCTGCTCGCCGAGTCGACTATGGACCCTGAGCCTTCGGCAGGCGTGCCGCAGATGCACCCACCCATGATCGACAACGATGTCGATATGGATCAGGACCGGGTGGCTCCCGCAGCCATCACGCTGTCCGGGCAAGCCGACAATCCCAGGCCGAGGGTGTCGACATCGGTGCAGGGAATGAGATCGAGGCGGGAGAGCGATCCGAGCACTATCCATCGTTGTTCGACGATGATGTCAACATGGATGATGACCCGGTAGTTCCCAGCACCGGCGTGACTTCTGGGCAACCCGAGACGGCCCAGGCCGAAGGTTTCTATGTGGGGTCGGCGGAGTTACCGAAGATGTCAGAGGGCTCCGGCGGGAGTCACTCGGGAAGTGTGACGCCTCATTCTGAGACGGCGACTTCCCCACGACCTGTCCCCGAGAGCCCCGATGTGTCCGGCGCATCCGGGAAGTCACCGGGCATTGCTGACGACGAGTCTGGGCAGGGTCAGCTGCCCGGTCAGGCTCAACAAACACCGGGTGATGGATCCGAGGACGCTCGCCTTGCGCTCGGACCAGATCGCTTGAGCGTCACCCCGCCGCCGCAACCGTCCGAGGCACCTCCCCCACTTCCTGTTGCCCTCGGCGAGATCTCGGGCGACACACCCAATAGCGATAGGGAAGAGGAAGGCGGGGTGGGTGCATACATTGAGCGGAACGTCAACGACTCTCAAAGAACCGTGCCCGAATCCACCCAAGCATCGATCCCCGCAACGCCCGATGCGGAGGCCGCATGCGAGGACATCTCACATTCACAGAATGTGAAGGTCCCAGGAACCGGTGCAATCTCTGGCGACGCATCGGGTGGGGCAACACCCCAGGACACCACAGTGCCGGTGAGTCCTTCGCACTTGGATTTGCCCATAGACATTGATAGCATGTTACAGACTGCTACCACCGCGGATCCCGCCCACGTCGACGACCCTCCCGAGTCAAGGGGTGAGGCAGAGGGTACAAACCCTCAGGTCACCAGCTTGGTCCAGTCGAAGTCGGCGGACGAGGGCAGCAGCCAGGAGACACCGTCGCAGTTGGCCCCTGGCGAGGAAACGGTCAGCGACCGGGCTCAGGGTAGCGGGTCGCCAACGCTCCCCGGGTGGACGACTTTGAACGAGGCGACTGTGCAGTCGGGCAGTGGACAAGAAGGGAAGGAAGTTGTGTATCCGGCGGGGTCGGGCGCCGAGAAGTTGTAATGTTGCGAATGTACAGTACGATATAATGCTGAGCGAAATGATCGAGGTTCGCATTGTCCGTGGTGGCTATATGTAATAATATTGTGACATCTCAGTGAATAAGCCCCCGGCCTTCTCGTCATGACTGACGCAGCTCCGCCGCCCGACTTCCGACGCCCGACTTCCGACGCCCGACTTCCGACGCCCGACTTCCGACGCCCGAGGTCGGACGCCCGAGGTCGGACGCCCGAGGTCGGACGCCCGACAGCGGACGCCCGACAGCGGACGCCCGACTGGCGGCGGGTTGTGTGACCTAACACTGGTGTTGATGTCACATTGGATCAGTCGGATCAGGCGGGTAATCTCGGTGCGGATAAGGCACATCTGACCACGTGAGTGTGGTTGTGTTGCCACCGACGACGTGCGACTCTTTTGGCGAATTCCTGTCATCGCACTGACAACACATCTCGCATCGACTCTGCTGTTGCCTGACACCTCAGTATCATGACCTTGCCATCCTCTTCTTCATTAAACCCTCTTGTTCTTGCTCCAGCTACCGACCCACTGTATCGGTTTGAAGGTGTCATTGAAGTGAACCGGGTAATCGTGGTTTATAGCACCCAGATTGAAAACACGGTGAAACAATCCAAGGATCCGCGATTTCAGGATGCCGATCTAATTCGGAAGACGGTAAGAAAATGCACATTTTTCTCCCATCAAGCACTCATCCTCCTTTGTCCACTTGCAGTGGAAGGCCGTAGAATCCGTCACGGTATTTAGTCATTAGACTCACATCGGGTTCAATAACTTATGTACAGTCAGTTCAACATCGCGGATATGTTACGATCTGCGACACAAAAGAATTGGTTCGTGTATGTCCCCCCCATTGCCATTTCCGCCATGGAGGAACTAGCCAGCAACGCCTCGGACGACAGCAAAACGCGGATGGCCCGAATCAAAGCCGATGACCCAAGGGTCTTCAAGAGCGGCTGGTATTCTGCGAGCCCTCCCCCGGGCATGTCCCATTTGATTCCCATCGTCGATGTGGCAACGACCCCTGCTTCATCACAGAGCGTTGCTGTCCCCAGCATGGCCCAAAGTGCTTCTCCCACTGTGGGCGGACCGTTGCAAGCCACAACGACGTCCGTGACCCGGCAAGCAGTTTCCTTCGAGCTCCCCGACGTCAGTCGTGTTGGTATGGACGAAAATGCATGCACTGAGCCTGGTGGTCGTCCGAGCGCTCGGCCCACACCACCCAACGTGGAGGGTGGGTCGACTATGCCACACTGGGAGTGCCTCAAGGAATCGGACAACGAGGAGGACGGTGCCGTGAGTGACTTGGTGATGGGTCGGCGGATGATGGCAACTGATGCAAAGCAGGCCTACCTCACGGATACAAGCGAGGAGGTAGATGAATTGGAGGAGCGGGTGATCACGACGGCTGGAAAGGCCAAGGGTACACATCGGGCTGAAACGACACATTCCGGCGACAACGATGGTGAGGCAGGGGGGTTAACTTGGCGGGAAGGCGTGCGGCTCGGAGGATGCAGGGCAAAGGAAAGGGTCGGGCTCAAACAGAGACAGCAAAGATTCAATGCCATCCTGATGAACAGCGTAAAGTGGTGCCAGCGTATATCGGGGCGCCGCCACCGAGTGGGTCATCTCACCTATTGCATTGTAATGGTGACTCACATAGATGGGATTACAGGGTATGGTCCTCGGGTTGGTCATGAAAGTTACCAGGGCATCGAGCTGTTCGAGACTGCAGCTGATGTCTCATGCGAAGTGCATGAACTTCGCCAGGAGAACGCGAAGCTTCATGTTATGTACGAACAGCTTCGCGAGGACTTTGAGGCTTTGCGGCAGCGCTTCCCTGCTCATGGCAAGGGCGAATGACACAGTCAAAATGTCACCTCAAACTGAATGAATGGGAATTATGTCCTTGTATGTACATGTATGGCGGGGAACTAGTTTCAATGACACATAGCCTTAATGCGATGCCCAACAATCAGCCTACCATGTCACCGCTTGTCGGGCCTCCATCCGCACCACTTGACAGGCGAGCGATACGGGGCATCCGCCCTCAGGCTTCCGAGCTCGGGCGCCCGACGGTGGGCGTCCGACAGCGGGCGTCCGACACGGGCGTCCGACAGCGGGCGGACGGCATTGGGTGCCCCACAGCGGATGCGGTTTGTCCGGTTGTCACCCACTGTGTATATAAGTGTTCGCTAGCTGCAGAAGACATGGGTGTGTGTGATGCGTCAGTTCCGTGGGTAGGCAATATGAAGCGTCAGGGATTTCGGCAGTGTTTTGTAAATAAGGAAGCTCTGTTACAACCGTTCTACAGATCCAGCACCACAAGCGTAACCCATCCTACATGTCGTCTACACTAACGAACTCCGTGTAGTTTTGTGTAAAGTATGCAGTGTCTTCCATGACAGGGTGCTCGGCACCCCTCGCATACCAGTCATGGACGTTCCGCTCATTCGCCGCCACGGCCGATTCCCAAAACCTGATCTCGGCAGAGATGTATTCGTCCATATACTCGTTGTGGGCTTTCAGCGCGGCGATGCACTCATGGAGGAATTCGATCTCCTCCTCTTGGTCGAGCACCTTCTGCATGTTGCCGTCCGCGCTCAGCCGGCCAACACCTGTGGGACTTTTTGGAACTGGCATGACGAGCGAGGGGAGGAGGCGTAGGTTCAGTCGGTGCAGGGAGTGTCCGACGTGCTGCCGACGGACATGTCAATGGCTGTATCAATGGAGAACGAAACATACTCGCCTCCTGGCTGTGGAGCATCTCCTCACGATTCATGGCAGCTTCATCCGCCTCACATTCGGCTATCTGAGCCTCCACCATCTCATCCACTGCCTCCACCCGACTGGTCTCCGCTGCAAGCGTGTCATGGACTTGAGTGCGAAACGCGGACATCGAGACCTCGCCCGGTGGGAGAAGCCCAGTGCCTGGTGTTTCCCTCAGTAGCCGAAACCATACTCATGCCAGATACACATACCATCCTCGACCGCATGCTTCGCGGACATCCACGCAACACCCGGCGGTACCTGAATGAGGGGCTCCGGCTCTCGGCTCGCTTTTGGGATCACTATGTCACTCAAACGTGAAAGTGTCGCTTCCCCCGATTCCTCCGCGCCACCCACGATATCCCAAAAGCGGGCCATGGCATCCGTAATACCTAGCGCCGTCTGGGTGTTCTCGTCGGAAAGACGCTTGAGCCCCGTCGTGAGCGCAGCCATGCACTGAACAAGAAACGTATCAGCCCTTCACTCCATGCCATTGCACCGAGGTTCTACCATCGATTTCACAAGCTGCGCATTGGCTTCAGCTGTGCTTCGGTTGTCTTGCCAGCTGACAAATGCTGCCTTCGCCATTGGAAGGGCCTCGTTGTCGCAGACATTGTCGTAGTCTTGCGCGGTGGGGACGGCCATGGAAAGGACTTCGGAGGTGGTGAGAATTGCGATTGAGAGATGAGATGAGAGGAGATAGGAGGGTACGTAATGGACATGCGATCAAGCCATTGTGGCCATATTTCTCACACTCGCCACAAGCACGTGCATAGCAGGGCATGCGCGACCACGCGGTCCGAGATCATGCGTCCGACCTCGGGCGTCCGACCGCGGGCGTCCGACGTCGGGCGTCCGACGTCGGATCCTCGGCTTGGGCTGTATGGATACGTTCGTTACCTCGCTTTCTCTTGTCTGTGTTGCCTTTCTCATGCCCATATTCGGTAGCTCCAATCACCAATATTTATACGACACAGAAGATGGATAGGTGGAACAATCGTTGGCGGCAATAGGAGTGTCAATCCTCATCCTCGGACTCGACCTCGACCTCCTCGCCCTCATCCTCGGTGTCGTCTTCATCCTCCTCATCCTGTTGCGCCTCCCGCTCCCCGTCGCTGCCCTCGCCACCCTCGCCGTCGCCCTCATCATCCTCGGGATCGTCGTCGCTGCCATCGGCCTCGTCAGGGTCACCCTCCGCAGCCACCAAGAAGGCCTCGGGAGTTTCAAGCATCTCCCGGGACAGACGCGCATGAGCGATGGCGTCTGCCTCGCTGCGCTGCACCAGCTGATCGATCTGGGCCCGGAACTTGTGGTCGTAAATACTCCCCCAATCTCCCTTACCGCCATTCACACCACCGACGAACGCCCAACCAATGCCGCCGCCGCCGCTTCGGTATGGACGGATCCATGCCGCCTCCGTGCCAACGATGGCGACGCCGTAAGGGAAGTCGGCGGATGTTATCGGAATGTTGAGCGCGATCCGCATGAGGTACCCCTTGAGCTGCGTCAAGATAGCCTTGCGATGGGCCGCTGTCGGTGTCGTCTTGCCCTCGTCGAGCGAGCCTATTTCCACGACAAGGCGTGGAAGCTCGGGCTTCAGCTCGTTGGTGCCGATCTCAAGACCGTAGTACGACGCGACGACAAAGTCGGGCATCTTCGTGCCGCTCTTCTGCCGCTTGAAAACGAGTCCACCTGCAGCAGGTGAGCGGATGCCCTGAAAGTGAAACACCGACCACATACCCGTGTAGTCGGTGCTCACGGGAGCACCGTGGCTGAGCACTTCGGCAGCAGCAGCCAGCTCCGCGTTGCCCCGGCGGCGGTGAAGAACATCAAGAACATCCTGCCCCGGAACGGACGGGCGAAGCGGTTCCTGGGGCTTGACCATGTCGTGCCTAAAACGCACGGAGAGGTACTTGTTCCACGCTCCGTAGGTGGAGTATTGGCTAGAAGTAGGACACGTCCGCCAGTGGTTGAAGATTTGCCTGAGGCGATTGTCGAGATCGACATGTCCGTCAAATGAGACCTACAGGGCGTTAGGGTTGCTGCCCGCATGCGTCCGAGGCATCACCGCTTACCGTGTTCATGATTGTCGATGCTGCACGAGTGTTGCACGTCGGCTGCTGCTTAACGACAATGCCCACCTTCTTATATATGGATGTATCCAGCTCTGAACATGATTGCACGAATGCAATGATTCTCGGCCAATAGGTTCTCTCGGAAGCGATGCACGGATGGAGAGCACAGTTTGGATAGTCGCCTGAGTCATGCAGAAGGCGGCATTTGGCCTTCGGGCGTTGTGATGCGGCTTCAGCAATGGTCAAGAGACATGCTGATTGAGCACAATGACTCATTCCCGCTGTTTTCTTTCTCATGGTGTGGGGACTCCACACCCGAGTTTCGCACAGATATTCCCTTATCGCCGGCTTCGCAATGGAGACGTATCCTCGCCATCGGAAGCTCCGTAGCTGTCCCCGCCTTTCGTCCGCTCTCTTGCGGAGCATACCTCACACGGCCGAACTCAGCTTGTCATGCGCTACCAAACGGCCTTCGCCTGAGGCCACGGGTTAGCGGAACACGGGGGAAGAATCCGGTATGCGTGACATTGTCTTTGAAAGCAACGCTCACACGCCCGAACTCAGTCTGACATCGGCTCCCGCACGCCTACATCAGGAAAAACACCCTAGCCGCCCAAGCGGTTGCAGAGTTCCCACGACGGGCTCAAGTAGTTGAGGAGGATTGTAAATTCCTCGGAGCGCGTTCAAGATCTTGTGGAAGGTTATCCCCAATTCCAGGACTAACCAAGTGTAGTTTAAGGCTCTACAACGTATAGCAATACTTTCGCAGTACTCTCAGTGGCTTTGGCTGTTCCCTGTGTAATGTATGGGGTATGCGTGTAGGATCTTGTGCAATTTCATCTTAGGTGATTTGTGTGCGGCGTAGAAACATATATATTTCAGTAGTCTACAACTGTATACTAGTATAATACTGGATGCATGTTTCTTTGTTTTACCTCGCGCTCAGTTTCCCGTCCACGCTCGTATTCCCTCCACGGGCCCTAGCGTGCATCAAACCGCGGGCCCTCGTAACTCCTGACAGGCTCGTCACCGTGCATCATACTAGGGGGCGACTGTCCAGGAACACCTCCCATGATGGCAGGGCCAGACGGCATGTCAGGGTGCGAGTCCCAGTACGGGCGCGGGGATCTGACAGGCGACATCGGTGGGGAGCGGGGCGGCCCACGGGGACTTGGTGCGAGCTGGGACATCGGCGGCGAGTGCGCGCCGGAGTACATCTGCTGCTTGTGCAAGAGGTACTCCGAGCCGGGACGACCACGCCTCTGCTCATGCTCCCACTCCACGTGTTGAGTCCGGGGCATGCATCGATCCCAGCCGGGCTCGCGCTCGGCCATTGGAGGCTCTTGTGCGTACGGTGGAAGCGGGGAGCGTCGCGCGGAGATTGGAGTCTCGCCGGGGCTGACCGGCGAGCGTCCGTCGTATGAAGGGCGTCCATTGGCTATAGAGGAGTGAGGACACATGGAATGAGGCGAAGGAGGGGACGTCGACTGCGAGATGTGATACTGGCTGGGACCAGGCTTATGTGGGAGTCCAGGAGGTCCGCGCAGGGCGTCCGGAGGTCCCTGTTGCTGCGGCACAGGGTGGTGGAGAAGGAGTCACTGGCGTGCCGGACCACGCCCGTTCTCACGACTCGGAGGCGGGTAAGGACCAGTCGACTCTCGCCGGTGGACGGTGGATGTCTATCGGCGCTAGCCAAGTATGAGAGGGCACTGGCATGTGCGGGTTGTCGAGCACCACTGCCAGTGGAGGCGGTGGCTCACCTCTGTACAGTCCCGGCGACGAACAACCACTGCCAAGGGCCCGAGGAGGCATGGGCAGTGCCCACTGCCAGGTCGCCAGGTCCTCTCGAGTCCATGCGGAAGATCGGCATTGGACGTGAGTTGACACCTGGGTGAAAGTTGAGTGAAAGTCCAGCGGGCGGACGCGTGGGCTAGTAAAACAGAGAGGTCAGGTGAAACGCGGCGGGCGCGCAGGGTAACAGTCAGTATGGCAGGAGCAATGGAAGCGAACAAGCAGGCGGGAAGGATGATAGTAGTAGGCTGTGACGGTCTGCCCTCACTTCTCCTGGCGAGCTCGCCCAGTGTCTGAATCAATTTGTATATGAGCATGGACACATACCTTAGAGTCTGCGAGCACAAGGAGACGACCCGCTGTCAGATGCCATGATACACATGACACAAGATCCAAATTGAGCACGGTCCTGGTGCAACGCTGAGTACAATGATTAGGAATCAAAAATGGGTGTCTCCACCCCGTCCTCCACGAGCCAGATCTCAGGCTCTCTCTTCTCCGCCCGTTCTACCTCGACCTTCCCAGCGGCATGGTCTCCGAACCTCAACACGGCTTGATGTGCAGGGTTCCGAGACGGAACCGCAACCTTCCCGACGCACCAGGCGGATTGCTTGTACTCGCGAGGTCGGTCATTGTACACGCTCGGCCAGAGGAAATTACTGTCCATGAAGGTGGCTTTCACACCACACATGGGCAGCAGTTCCTTGTGGCAGCCCAGCGCGTAGTCCGGCGCAAGCCCGGCGATGACGATGTCTCTCAACTTGAAGACGGGAACGGATGCGAGAGGGAGCGGAATAGTGATCGGCGTACGGAGAGGTTTGGTAGAGGCCGGGATGTAGGACTTGTACCGAGGGCTGTAGGCATCGATCTTGAATACAGTTTCGGTCCCAACGGATAGCCCTTTGTGAGGGCTGAGCGAGGCGAAAACTTGCGTGAACAGCGGTTGAGATAACCAAAGCTCAAGCTCGTTGGACTTCTCGCGGACGTGATACACGAGCGGCAGACTCATCGGCGGGTGAGCCTCCTGAAGAGATAAATCAATGGTGAATCAATCGTACAAGCACTATGAGAAGCTAACCACGCACCCGAAAGAATATGAATGTTTCCACAACTACCTTCTCCCTCTTTGCACTGACCAACGCCCTCGGAATCCCCGTGTCCTTTGCCTCTGCCCATACCTCGCCCAAGTACACCCACCCTCCCAACTTGGGACGAGGTTCCATGGCCCGCGCAACGCGAAGCACCTCCTCCAGGACGACCCGGTCCCCCTGCTCTACGCTCAGAGTTGCTGCGCACTCCGTCCCGTGGAAACACGGGCACTGGAGGGGGTTAAATATCAGTGAAAAAGCGGAACTCAAGAGACTCACGTAGTCGTAGAGTTTCCCGAAATTCTCTTTGCTGTCCTCCAAGCAGACGACGGTGACGTGATAAACCTGCAGGTCCTTTTCGACGCGGTTGCATCGGATTGTAGTCTTTGCAACCGTAGAAAACGGCGGTAGAACCTGCGAGAGAAAGCCAATAACAGTTTCCTGATGCTAGCCATTATGAAGATGGAGTGTGCGCAGGTTTGACAAAGCTGAGAGTAGTGAGGAAAGTCAAGGATTGATAAGCGGTGGAAAAGCGACCTTCAAGCATCCGCAAGCGCTCGATGAGATCTCAAAGAAGCGCTTGTGCTCACGGACGGTACTCGAAGACAGTATTGGGTATAAATGAGAGCCTGAATGAGTGAGATAAAATGGAGATGCTATTCAGTAGATCGTACTACTGGACATATGTCATGGGCGTACAATCCTGACTGCTATTCTTACATAGATCTATTTACAAGTACAATTTTGTTCCTATGCGTGATCAGAACCTCTGCCAAACGTTGTCAGGCGCATGCCAGTCAAAGTCAGGGGCTGGCTCCTCCGAGTATCCGGCTTCTCCACGCTCAGGCCTCGCCGCTACTACGCCCAACGGCGTTCCTGTATCCACTACGCTCCACTTCGCCTGCATGTACTTGCGAGGAACTCGAAGGTTCCCGGCCAGACATACGGCTGGTCCATGAATTGCAGCTTCATGGAACATGTGGGGGGCTCCGATCTCAGGCCCTTGGCGTGGTCACTCACGTAGAGGGTGACACGTACATGGCCGAGCTTGAAGGTAGGAATTTGGCGTAGGGGGAGGTGTAGGACAGGGGTTTCGTCTTCGAGCATCGATACAGGAAGAACGTTTGTCGTTCAATGTCGTAGAAGTCGAAGCCGGTGTCGCCGAGGCCCATGCGGGGCCACGTCCTCCACGGGCTCAGCCCCGGAACGTGAGCAGCATCAGGGGCTGCTCCGTAGGAGGAGCTATGAGCATCTCCTTCCTCTTCTCGTCTATCTCGCACAAGAGAGGGATGGAGATGGGGTCCTCGAGATCCTGAAGAAGTTCCGTACGCGAGTTAGAATTGAGGGGCCACACAGACGTGAGGGACGTACCTTGATAAAGAACAAGGCCTCCACCACAGCCACTCTGGGAGCGTCCTCCTCCGGCCCGTAATGCTGCAAGAGTCGGGGGACTCTCCTCCAGTCCTGATAGAACAGCCCAACGGCGCCCAGAACACCCAGCCTCGCATTCTAACAGGCCCGAAAGGCCCGAAGCTGTCGGATCGAATGGCATCTAGGATGGACGTCTGTACCTCCGGTGTGGGCTGCATCCAAGCTGGGCACCGAACCATGGGACAGCCCGTTCTCTGATGTGTCATACACTTCGCAAATAGGAATATTAGCCAGCTAATACCACTATGCAGATACATGGCACTCACGTAGTCATATAACTCCCCGATGTTTTTCTTTTCCAGGCATAGGACCGTAACGTGTGTAAGACTGGATCCGTGAGGGCATTGCCTAGTCCCGTGTTCCACTATCTGCGGATAGGACGGCAGGCCGTTCTGTGAGATGATGTTGAGAAGGCGGGGTCGATGCGGGAGACGGCCATGATAAAGCTTGAGATGTCCGGTCGTAGCGGCAGGATGAGTTGAGAGGCGGGTGGGAGTGGTCTGAGGGTGGTTCGAAGATGGTTGAGAGAAGAGCACAGGAGTTACCAAGTGGCCGGAAAGCCACACTCAAGCGCTGGTTGAGCGCTTGATCAGGTCTTCATGAAGTGCTCGCACTTGCCGGTACTCGGACTCAGAGTGGGCAAGAATTGTATGTATTGAGCTAAATGTATTCTAAGATCTGTGCATGTCGACGAGAGGCTGTATCAGGGTGCAACGCAAGCAAAGAAAGGCCGGATGGTTGAGATGATCATCCGGAGTATGATGAACCGCCGTGAAGAGCAGCTTACATGCTGTAGTGCCCATAAGAGAGCCGGTAAGGGTCAGCGTCGCCCACCAGGTACTAGCTGACTCTCCAAAACAATGAGATAATGCTACGGCGTGCATGTGCAGAGGCGTCCTGCATGATGCGGCTGTCGAAGTTCGCAGGCTGCATGCCGTGCAGCGGAGACGCATGAAGGTGGCCTTGCTGGAGATCCGGTCCGCCGTACAGCGTTCAGAAGCCTGGATGCACTTCAGGATGAGAGCGTCAGTGAAGGCGACAGAATACATAGAATCTCAATCATCAGCGCACCTTCTCAATGACGTTCGAGCTGAACTTCTGGACAAACAGCGCTCAGACGTTGCCAGTGAACTGGCGGATGACCGCATTGCTGAAGCGGTGGTCTGCAGAGTTATCAACTGGTACGCATGGCAGACTGTGCTTCGGTCGAAACAGACTCCAGCCCAAGTTGTAGGTCTGCACTCTGCTGGGGGATGATGGACGTCAGTCGTGTTTTCCCGGGCTCTATCGGACGTGGACAACTAACTGTGTTCGGGTCGAAGCCCTTCTACGACATGTCAATGCAGCGTGGTTTCGCATAGACGTGCAGACCGCAACGGATCTACGACACCACTGCACTATCCTGTACGCCCGCATCGTCCGCGCCTTCCATGAGGTTACGCTAAGAGAGAACGGTCAGCACTTACAAGTGCATCTCCAGCTACCATTAGAAACACGTACCATCCCATGGGTGTTACGTTCATGTCATGAGGCCTACACACAGCGAGGCCTTCAGAGAGCAGGTCAAGAGTGAAGATGTCGAAATAGGAGACTTACTGACTCAGCTAGTACGTCAAGGAAAAATGGAAAGCCACTACCATAGCGTCTGGTAGGCGTACATACCAGCCCAGTTGTTCAGATGGAATCTGGTCGCCTTGTCAAGAACGTTGTCGGAAGACCATTCCCTTGGAGCTGCCCCACCCGGCCCATCCGGAAACGAAGGTATCAGCTGGCATGACTGGCGTATCTGAGCCAGCTGTACGATCCTTCCAGGCGGAAGACCATCCGCCCCCGGGGGTGGCTTACTCACAGAGTACATGAGATGCCGTGGGTCGGCTGCACCAGGGAAGCGGGTATACCACTCCACGTATGCAAGAGGACCCTGAGGCCACCAGGAAGGTGCCGGACTGCCTCCATGAGATGGGGAGAGGGTCTTAGGCAGCGTGAAGATGACTTTGACGCGCCCTGCTCTTGTGCCTTTACAGTGGAAATGAGCAACATTATACGCAGGAACTCAAGACACTAAGTACTCACCTTTGACCCCAGTTGCCTCAGCCTCCTCAGTCTCAAGCACAATGGCGGTATCGAAACGGCTCTTCCTTCCCTGGCGACCGGAAGCAGGCACTGACCTGATAGCGTCAACCTCCGGTTTGCCGTCCAGCAGCTCACAAGGGTTGAATTGAACCTTGTGATACACGTCGACGCGATCGAAGGGCAACCAGGCCCTCGATAGATCGCGTCGAGTGAGTGTAAGTTCAGGCGGCTGCAGGTCATTGATGTATCTTGCAAGAGCGGTGGTAAAGCCAGGTGCGTTGTGCTGCGTCTGGACCGTAGCGAGATGTTGCGCTGGCGACGGTGGGTGCTTAGCTATCTTGATAGAATGGTCTCCTGGGACCGGTTCGGTGTCCTGTGCGTCCTGAGCGTTGGAGTCCACTGTCCCGCCATCCACTGATTCCTCTGGGTCCTCTACCTCCTCCTCCTCACAACACTCCTGGAACACTTCGTAAAGGGCCATTTTCTCCCGCCGGGAGATCCACTTCACCATCTGTGGAAACTCGTCCCTATGGTTGGAGGCTCGCCATGCTTTCTTGGCGAAGTCGATATGGAGTCGCTCGAACAACTCCGTATTATAGTTGTCTGTCGTCCCGAACTGTCGAATTGACTGGACGTAATGGAGGAGGGAGTGAACCTTGGGGATGTTGAGATCGTCTCGTATCCCCAGCTCTACCAGGACGTGCTTGTGTTTGTGAAAGGTGTCCAACGCATCCTCAAGATACCTGAGCGTGTCGTCATCGTGCGTAGGGTACTGAGCTATATAGATGAAATCAAGCAGCGCTCGAAAGGCCAGGACGACAGAGTTGGGAATCTTCCCTATGAGACAGCCCAGCAGGACGCGGGCCATCTCCTTGCGCTCTTTTCCAGACACTTGAGCAAGGGCGGAGATACCGTTCTTGAAGTGTCGAACGCCGTGCGCAGGCGGGAGACATCGAAGTCGACTGTCCAGCTCTTCCGGACCGATGAGATCCTCGCACCAAGTCATGAGGTGCTTGAAAACACCTTGATACAACTGGTGGAGGATGTCAGGCGTGATCGAGAGGTGGATATCGGCATACGGTAGGTCCGCCCAGAAGGGCTTTCGAACAGTCCCCACGACGTCCCGCTCCATACTGAGAGCCTCAGAAGCCGCTGCACTGCGCCCGTTCAGAGACGACTCTTCGATGATGCTCTCCGTCAGCTCAGGAGTGCGTGGGTCCGCCGCCACACGGTCCCCCAGTTTGTCAGCGGGACACTGACACTTGGGGCATGTTCCGTATTTTGAACAGGCCACCAGACCCTGTTCCGGGTAGTCAGCGACATAAGACGCTAGGATGGGGTGTACCCGACGAACAGCGCCATCGCCGCCGGTCACTTCAAAGCCCTCAACACCGGCGCGGACGAGGGGCTTGAGGATGATGCGCATAGCCGCATGGAAAAGCTGGTGGGTCCGCGATTTGTGTTCTCGCTTGGTCATGTTCTTCTTACTGATCTTGGTAACCGGGAGATAGCCTAGCAGAATGCAGGCATGCTCGGAGGGTTTGCGACGGAGCGCACGAGGAATGTTACCTAGGGTCAGGTACACCGGGTACGCACACTTGTTACCCGAAAACTGGGTGAGCTGGGTCTTGTCCGTGGATATAATCACAGGCGCGACCGCAGCACCCCCTGGCAGTAATTGCTACATACCCAGGATGTCAGAGATCAACAAGGTAGGTGGGAAAACTGATGCTTACCTGGACAGCATTCCACCAAAGACCAGTCCACATTTCGGTGAATATCCTGCGTGTTTTGGAACGGTCGGCGAAGACACGCCTCGGGCGGTACACGATCTGCTTAGCATATGATGGGTTACCTAGGAGGGCCTGTATAGCCTCGAGAATGTCCCGGTATCGTATAATGTGTTCCTCGTCTGGCCGGTCACGGAACGTCAAGGTCGTCATCTTCCATGTCGCCCTATCAGGAATACTGTCTACTTTCATGAAGAGTTGCCTGACGTCCTTGAAGGTTAGCCCCAGCTTTTCAACCACCTGTGAGCCAGCCACGTAAATGGTGAGCTCTTGCAGTGCCTATGAATAGAGAAACCTACCCCCGGTATGCGCAGGAACCGATTTAGAGAATTCTGGCCGACATCCTCACGAACTGCCCACATGGCCACCTGCCAGTCAAGTTCGGACGCGAACGGCCTCCACTTCTGGTTGAGGTCTCCCTTGTCCGGTGGCTCGTCTTCACCGTCTACGTCCATGGCATCGCTGTCGTCCTCATTTTTCCCAAAGTAAGCCTTCCACGTCTCGACAATTGTCTCCTCCATCCGTACGACCATGCCGGCGAGCTTGTTTTCCTCCTCCACTCTGGTGTCTTCGTCATCGTCCAAGGCAGGGACGGGAACACCGGGCAAAGCGGGGGCCCCAGCCCTCTGGGACGTAGAGGACGAGGCCTCTCCTTCGTTTTCCACATGAAAGTTTGCATGGGAAGGGGGAAGTACGAACCGAAACAGGTCCCGAGTCTCCATGACATCTTGGAAAGTGGTTGGTTCGTCGTCAATGTCCATGTCCGCAGACTGTGACGCCCGGATCGCCTCCTCTCTAACGATTGTGCTGAAGTCACCCACACCGATGTCCTTGTTTTTCCCCTTATTGTACCAGCGGCACGATTTGGCGGTGGACAGGTGGGACAAGAGCCCTTGCGGGGTGTCCAAGAGCTTGTCGCAGGCCGGACACGTTCGGTCTTCCAGATCGCAAGTGCGGACGTGAGGGACCGCCCTTTCCTTGGCTCTTCCCATCGTGTATCGTTAATTCTGGAGTGCTCCACCGTCATTAGCATTCTCCGCGTTGAGGTAGAATAAATGCTTTCGCACCTGCAGTCGAGAGAGTCAAACGCGTAGTGTTGGAGAAATTCGGGAGGTAGCTCAAACACTTGAAGAGTTGCTTCAAGGCGCCTGGGCGGCGCTCACCAGTCTATTCAATTGCTCATGAGGTAAATGTCTTAGGCTCACATGACAGTGGACTCACACGCATCATGCAATCATTTCTTTCCGTGTTTCACGCCTTCACTCTTGAGCGCTGTTGGTCGTGCAACCGTGTCTACACCGGTGAGTTGGAGCTTTTGCTGTTCCATGACCCGCTCACCTGTGCCATGGTTGTATATGCATGCTGTTCACGTCCTATATGACATGGTAAAGCTTGATAACATTCTCTGTCACCCCTGTGGTATATACAGATCGAGGTACGGAGTACTGTGATCATGATATATACTAACTTCATCAGTATATAGGCGGTATATTGGCTCTCCTGTAGGCTGCCACCGTCTCTGCTTACCTCAGCGTGCATCCTTCCTAAATTGGGCCAACTATCCGGCGGCAAACTGCTCGCGTGGCTGGACAGAGCGTGTCCGCTCGCGTGGCCGGACAGAGCGTGTCCGCTCACGTGGCCTCTGGCAGGCGCCATAAACGGGCAGTAGCCCTAACGAAAGCTGTATGCGTGTGCATAGTTGACTGTTCCAGAAAGGTGAGCGTTCTCTCTTCCAAGGGCGTGTAGTACATTTTGACACCCGCATTCAGGGAGAAGACGCTGCTGTACCCGCACTCACAACAAACCCGACATGGTATCTGGACACGGGATATGGTACGGGATATCTAATAATATATTTTGAATATCCCGTTCGGGGATATTGTGATTGGGGATAAGGAAAGTCTGGATACTTAAAGTATCCCGGAATGGGTTACTTTGAGTTTCCCCCATACAGTATCGCAGGCCGGGATATGGTGAGGCATGTTTAAAATATCTCTGGCCACCGTGACAATGATGTCCATTTCCGTCTAACCATTGCCCATACCCACGTTGCCTGTTTTCATTATCGAGTGGCACGCGTAGTCACGGACATGTGACGCCGCAGGCCCGAGCCATTACTTACCGGAAAAGGCAACTGTGGCTCCCGCTGCCGCCGCGGCGAACGGCAGTACTTATGGTGTCGTGTCGCGGTATGGTGCGTCGCGGTTCGGTGTGTCGCGGCGCGTCGCGTCGTGTCATGTCACGGTACGGCGTGTCATGTCATGGCATGGCACGGTACGGTGTGGCGTGGCATGTCACGGTACGGCGTGTCATGGCACGGCATGGCACGGCATGGCACGGCGTGGCGTGTCATGGCACGGCACGGTACGGTATGGCACGGTACGGCGTGTCATGGCACGGTACGGCGTGTCATGGCACGGTACGGCGCGTCATGGCATGGCACGGTACGGCGCGTCATGGCATGGCACGGTACGGCGTGTCATGGCATGGCACGGCGCGTCGTGTCACGGTATGGCACCGTGCGACGCGTCATGTCACGGTATGGCATGGCACGGCACGGCGCGGTACAGTACGGCGTCACGGTGCCGTGTCATGGCATGGTATGGTACGATATACTTCGCTCATGTCATTTTATTACAATCATGTTGTTCTTGCATTGTACTACGGCAGCCTGAGTTGAATAGGTTAATGTATGTAGGGTACAATATACTTCACAAGTCGCGAGAGGAGTGGCCTGACATAAGCACCATGCACCATGACACGGCACCGTGACACCGTACTGTACCGCGCCGTGCCGTGCCATGCCATACCGTGACATGACGCGTCGCGCGGTGCCATACCGTGACACGACGCGCCGTGCCATGCCATGACACGCCGTACCGTGCCATGCCATGACGCGCCGTACCGTGCCATGACACGCCGTACCGTGCCATGACACGCCGTACTGTGCCATACCGTACCGTGCCGTGCCATGACACGCCACGCCGTGCCATGCCGTGCCATGCCGTGCCATGACACGCCGTACCGTGACATGCCACGCCACACCGTACCGTGCCATGCCATGACATGACACGCCGTACCGTGACATGACACGACGCGACGCGCCGCGACACACCGAACCGCGACGCACCATACCGCGACACGACACCATAAGTACTGCCGTTCGCCGCGGCGGCAGCGGGAGCCACAGTTGCCTTTTCTGGTAAGTAATGGCTCGGGCCTGCGGCGTCACATGTCCGTGACTACGCGTGCCACTCGACAATGAAAACAGGCAACGTGGGTATGGGCAATGGTTAGACGGAAATGGACATCATTGTCACGGTGGCCAGAGATATTTTAAACATGCCTCACCATATCCCGGCCTGCGATACTGTATGGGGGAAACTCAAAGTAACCCATTCCGGGATACTTTAAGTATCCAGACTTTCCTTATCCCCAATCACAATATCCCCGAACGGGATATTCAAAATATATTATTAGATATCCCGTACCATATCCCGTGTCCAGATACCATGTCGGGTTTGTTGTGACTGGTCTGTGATGGCCATGTTGGGCAGATTCTGCTTATCTCAGCAGTGGCGATCATGACACGGCTCCCCGTGACCATGTCCCAGCCAGTCCTGTAACCAGGCGGGTATTACAGGTGCGGGCCGGAATGATAGTCTGTCCATCTGGAGGTGGCCGTTCCACAAGTCGTGCATGGTGAACGGGTGATAGTCGGAGTAAGTGTTGCCTTAGCTAAGGTTCCCGTCTGGGTTGTGTTTACACGGGTGTTGCAGGGACTTTATCACACACCGCTCTGAAACCGGGACTCCGATCTTCAACTTGGACTGCTTCAACTTGCTCTGTCACCGAAGTCTGACACCGTCATGTCATGTACTAATCGCTCCCCCTCTCCTTCCTCCATCCACACCGCCTCCGATGTAGGTTCCGCGCCTCATACGGACAGTTCTGGCGACATAGAGCATCTAGCTCTTCGAACCCCATCCGAACGCTCCTTTGATGCCGACATCGACACCCACTACTCCCCGAACAATGCCTTCGCAGAGAGGATGCGCCGCGAGAGGTTTGCTGTGCAAGCAGAATCCACCCCTGCTATTGCAAAGCTACCCCTCTGGCGAGAGGCCTCCCCACATGAGCACGTCGAGGATGACAGGTTTGGCGCCCTCCTTCCCTTGCTTCCTGCGGCAGCAAGCCATCCCGATTTATTCAAGCGCTTTCTACACAAGATAGAGGTGCTATACGACAACTGGGTTGCCTGCGGTGAGAAGGAATTTGTCGTACAGGTGACGTACTCATTCCGTCTCTCTCTCAAATGCATTGCTGATGTATTCATGTATCTCCGGTGTTTGACTAGGATATACTGGGGATCAACGAGGAGCAGTATCTCTTGCTACAACACGCATTGGACGAGAGCTGGGACTGGAAAGAGAATGAGGACACGAAGAAACTAGTGGCGTTTCTGCGTAGTATCAAGTGAGTATCAAATGTCCGTCCATAACCCGCTGTCACTCACTCCGTCACAGTATGGACTTCTGGAAAGAGGACCATAAAGCGGTTCTCCATGGTCCCACCTTCAGTGAGGACTGCGCCTTCCGCCTCATCGACCGTATGACGATGGCCTTCAAGCGTATTAGTCAAGTCTACCACTACGACTCCCTGGAGATGGGGAACGATCTGGTCGTCAAAGAAGGCAGGGTGATCTTCACCCTTCGTGGAAGCGCAGTGATGGCTGTGAAGGGTGGGGATAGCGACGGGATAGAGATGGACGAGAGCGAGCAGAAGAAACGTGCACGTTCCCCTCTTTTCTTCTGTCTTGTGACGAACACTCGTGCGGAGTTCTTGTACCAGACGCGTAAGGTGAGCCGGTCCTTCAACTGCTTTAGGAGCACCGGTAATCAATCCTACAGATCGCCTGTGCCTTGGAAGGCCTGCCCCTGCTGCAGGGCTTCGTCATTGCCCATGTAGGGTTGGCGGATGCATCATCCAGTGGTGACATCCTCTATGATCAGGGCGGACGTCTCCTGGATGACGAGAATCCAACCATGGAGGCCTGTTTGGCTATCTACGGTCGGTCTGACTTCGTCAACTTCATGGAGTGCACGAGCAACGCCAGGGAGTTGGCGGATTGGGATGTATATGCAGGGCGGAACTTCATGGCGAGTAGTGTTTCCCTGTCTTAGTGCTTCGCTATTTAATATTACTTCAATAGCGACTCCTCAGCATGTTCCCCCAACCTGTCACGAAGCCCCCAGGCGGTCAACGCACTGTGGAAGAAATCCTGCACGACATCATGCAGTCTTACGTGGCGACCTTCTCCGCTGCCTCTGAGGCGTGCAATGAACTGCCGTGGGCGAGTATGTTCCCCGATCACGTTGGGAACGTGTGCAAGCTCGTCAACAAGGACGTCTTGAGCTGGGTGGACAGCGTCGTCCTGCACAAGACTGTCCGCTTGGCTCGGAAGCGCATCCACTGCAATGGTTGGCCGTTGATATCGAGCATCGTGGGGCCGCATGGACAGAAGGGAGTGCTCCGTAACGCGCTGTTTACCTGATCTACGATGTATACAGTATACTATACTATGTTCTATTTATTTCATGATGCAACGTGTAAGCTTTGATAGGGGGTTTATTGAGTCCTTAGACCGGTTTTCCCACATGAAGTCAAAAGGTGAGAACTCCGGAAGAAGCTATTGAGGAAGCTCACGGCTCCGGGCGCTTTTGAGACTTTCTTTTCCGGCTCTCCTAGAAATGCCATCAGCCTCAAGATCACCGGCCAGCCGGTACCACGACTGCATCGACGAATTTTGGAGTCTCTACATCCAAACTTGGCTACTTCCGATCTTCGCTTTCCACCATTTCCACTGCACGACTGCCATAGCATCATTGGGAAGACATGGGTCCGGCAGCGCCTTCGTACCAGACAGTACCCTAATGCTGGAATTCGGTTTCACCCAATGTTTGTTCTACATGAGCGAAACGGCACTGTCTCAGGCTAACAGGCTCAGGGAACTGATGAAAAAGGTGAGTACTCCATAGATTTCAATCCCTATGCTGATCAACGTTCTCAGCTCCAGGTCATGAAGAATAGACATCTCCTACCGGCAGGAGGCCTCATCTTTGTGATCGTCAAGGAGTCGACGAAATTCTCCGCCTTGCTCCCCAAATGGGTGGAACTGTATGCCCAAGGACGGAGCCGTGAGCTCCAGAATTGGGCCATCAGTCTCAGTCGGGGTTCATCTGGTGCTAGCAGGTCTCAAGCACCTATCAGGCTACAGGACGCTGTCGCTTCCTATGGAGAGATCGCAGACCAGTGGTGGGATCATGCCTCCCCTCCCCTCATGCTAGACGGTCGCACTGTTGTCGGCCAATGCAGGGCTTACGCCTGTATTGCCCTGCCACATGAGTACGACAAGTTCGATCTTGCGGTTGCAGGCAATTGGCGTTTTCAGACTGTACTGGAGAGATTTACCTCCATTGTAGGTTTATCTGCATCGCTTTGAATGACTAATCTAACATCCGTTTGATAGGATATCACTATGCGTCCGCAACTTGCACCGGAGGGGAAGCAGCAAAACTTCCGACGCTTTGAAAGTTCTGTACGATCCATGGCCACCATCACGGCCAAGATCTGCAGCCTTCTCAAATCCACTGAGGATGGTCGTGCAATCTGCCATACGTTCCTCGGTTTCTCAGAGGAAACAAACGAGGTCATCCTACAGTTTGCGAAGCGTCACATCCCAGGCTATGGCACTTCATACCTCGATCTCACTCACGACCCAGACACCCAGCTCGTCCAAACCATGTCCGTCTATGCAGGACAACAACCTCCTTCCCTGATCGACTTCTTGGGCACGTTGAGCCCAGAATTGATCACTTATTCCCAATCGCTGGCAATGTCCAGACTTCGAGGACGCTTCAGCAAATCGGCGACCAGGGCTACTGAGAGGGCAGCACAGGGACAGGGTGAGAGAAGTCGAGAGAAGTCGGTGAAAAACAGCAAGCGTAACGGCTAGAGGACGGACTATGCAGTAGATAGGTAACGTAGTATGTATCTGTACCATTTTGCATTGTATATTTCAGTGGAGTGTCCCTGACCGAGTTGTGGGCGCCAACAGGGCGCTTCCATACGAATACGACACGCGTGCAACGCTCTTCCCAATCTCATGGAAAGTACGCTTCAACTCTCTGCTACTGAGATTCATACCTTGCACACTTTCTTCAAGAACTTCGAGACGCTCTCTGAGCCTATTCAAAGCATAGCTAGTCGACTTGAACATGTCCTCAATAGCTCGCTGACGGCTGACCATTCGCACTGCGCGGAGCCTCTATTCTTGAGTAACGCATTGCAATCACAGGTCAATACCGGAGGTGCGGAACGATGTAAAGTGCATATTTGTCACACTGACGGTACTGTACAGACAACCTCGTCGAGTCCATCCCTGTGCCTAGTGACACGGAGTCAGAGGTATCACAGCCTCACAACAGTGACGCTCAAGGCGGTGAGTACCCCCTCCGTAAGCTCAGAAGGCATCTTACCATTGCTTGTCTGCTTGTAGGGACAAAACCGTCGTCCAGGAGAGGAAAATCGACCAAAGGTCGTGTACCGAAGAAGACGTCTAGTTCATCAAGCGGACGAAGAGCCGATGTTGCGTTCTGGAAGTGCAGAACTGGTGCCCAGGCCAGTGCGCTCAGAACGTTCGTGAACATCAACAAGCCAGTCATTCCAGTGTCTGCGTCTGTCAATCAATACGTGGTCAAACTCGTCACCGCACTAGATCAGTACGAGTCGGAAATAACCAGCGCTCTCACGTCTTTGAATCAGGAAAGGGAGCACCCATCTAATTCAGCTTTCATTGACGATTCCATCACATCAATCGTTCAACGTTGCAACCTTGCAGGACAGCGTGAGGTAACCACGGGATTCCTCGTCATGGTCAACTACATGCAGCTGACCTGCAAGGTGAATGCGTAAGTACACATCTACAGTCAACTGGGGTTGCTCTGATGGTACCGTTGCAGGCTGAAGCGTGGAGGAAATCACAAGAGCTACAATGAGGTCTGGAGGCTATACATCAGGGACCATATGCCCAATCCGCCCAGCGAAAGAACGTTCCGCCGCTGGATTAACTGGGGAAGCAAATTTTCCACGGTTGCGTCTGGAGGTATGAACGTATATCCTGCAATGCAATGGCATAGCTAATGAACAGTCTCTGATAAGGCACGGTATATTTACTTGCTATCATTGCCTTCGCACGTTTGCATGAGGAACTAGGCAAAGCCCTGGAGGATTTTCCGTGTCATTTGGCAAACGTGCTTCGATGTCCTGACCCAGGTGAGTCGATATTTGTGCCGTCTACTCATTTTTCAAACCCCCCGTGCTCTGATAGACACAGCATGCGGCAAGCAAATCCTTACGAGAATCATCCCATCGATTGCTCAACTGCGTCAACGCGTCGCCCTTCGATACGACACGCTGTTTCCTCCAAGCACTCTCAAGGAGCTGGAGCTGACCACCGACTTCATTCTGTGCTCCGACGTTGAACAATCAGATAAGGTATTTGGATCTCTAAGCCTAAAGTGAGTCCGCCTATTTAGCAGTGACGAAGAGCACATTGCCAATACTTTTCTAGCGCATTCGCCGCCGTGGACAGGGATGCTGAGGCTTGGATGCCGTGTCTGATACCTACCAGTGGCCATGACGTCCTATGTCTGACGTCCGCCAGCCAAAAGCTGCTCTGCTCCCAAGGGGATGTGCACATGGACCCACCATCACCCTTGACGGTCATCGACTCCTGGGATGTAGAGAATATTGGTATCTTGGACGACCCCGAGCAGTCCGCATCCTCGTTCCACGTAGTAGCTCCTTCGATGCTGCTCAAGACCGGTTTCTCTTTACGGCATGAAGAGCATCAGGCGCACCCTGTCCCGACGGACCCGAAGGATGCTTATGCATGGACGGAGAGGCAGCGGGAGGCTGCGGCCGAAGCAGAGCAGCCCGGGAGTGTTGAAGACCTGAATCAATGGGTGAATCTCAGACTTTTTACGCCACGGCTCTTCACGCATTCCTGACCAGTTCATGACTCTTTTAAAGATGTCCGCATTATACCAGGATGGCCGACGCATGGATACTTCGTCGTACATCAGATTAGACCCTGGAATCTTGAGGTATGCCGTTCATTGCTTTGATTTGCTGGTAGTATTCTGACCAGATACCAGTCAACCTCTGCAGATCGTCGACTGTGATGGGGGCCTGATTACATGTCTGTTCCCGAACATGCCAGATCACCTTCGTAATACGTTGACGGCCAACGTAATGGCATGTTTGGAAGGGCATAATATCAACCTGGAAGACATGTGCTCTGCGTCTGATGGCGACAAGTATACCTTCCCAGTTCTGCACTTCTCATGGTACAACAGGCATGGTATGCGAGTGAGTGCACCGGCATCTGAGACGTCAATGCTTGACATACTGACATGTTGGTATTAGGGCCATGAAGTGCCAGAAGAGGCGCATCCGTTGCTCGTAGGGAAAGCGGATAATACACGCATGAATTACAGTCAACTGCTTCCCTACCAGTCGAGCGATACAAGGAAATATCAAGATATCTACGACAACATGCAGACCGTGCTTGAGAGCGTGTTCGAGTTCATGGCAGAACAAGTGAGTATACATATTTTAGAACGCTCTGTTTAATGCGCCTAATAAATTATCAACAAAGATCAAGGCCGTACTGCCCAACCACTATGCGAATCTTGAAATGGATGCGGAGGTCTTGCCTGGGAATGCATGCTCAATCGTGCATCCCTTCCTCTCCCTGGTCATCAACCTCAACGTCTCCACCCTTGCTCACAGGGATTCTCTGGACAAGTCGTTGTGTGTTGTGCTTGCCCTGGGTGAGCATGAAGGAGGAGAGCTGTGTCTGTACGAACCGGGCTTGGTTCTGCCCCTTCGCTGCGGTGATTTTGCGGCCTTTCCATCTTACCGTATAACTCATTTCAACCGCCACTTCACCGGACAGCGTGCGTCCATCGTTTTACATACTGATAAATATATAGAAGACTGGACAAGCGGCGGACGGAATGGCTTGAGAAGAATCAGCATTTCGCTTAGCTATGGCCGTTCTCGGCTTGTACTGCGTACCGTACCGCGTACTTACGTCTGTCGTAATTCAATTGGTCCCACGTTCAGCGCTCTGGGGTGCGTCAGGAACATGAACGGTAGGTGAGCAGTAACGGTAACTACTCCTCTGTCTCTAACCTCTCCCTCTGCCATGTCTCTTGAATCAACACTGAGATCGTGCTTGCCAGTTCTAGACTTCAAGTGATGAATATTTGAGGCTTCTGGCTCCGTCTCAGCGCGTATCCGAAACTCCGAGAAGCTCTCACGCTCGCAATTTTGCTCAAGCACCTCTGACGGTTTGTTCTCCTGCGCTGTCTTAGCCTCTCTTACATTCATGTCTACTCGCCAGACGCGCTCTGCTGGGAGCAAGCCCAAGGCCCCGGAGCCAAGGCACCGTCTAAGGCAACCCCGAAGTCAGCGCCCGCTGGCAAAGCAACAAGTCGCAAATCTAACGCCACTGCTGCAAAGGCCAGTTCCAGCAAACCCGATGCACCAGAATCCAAGGCTGGTACAGCGAGCTATGCAAGTGCTCTCAAAGACGCGAAGGAGTTCCTGCGGAAGCAAATGCCCAACGCATCCGAGAAGGACATCCAGCTGAGGGCGCGGAGGTACGTCTCTGAGATGAGGAAGGACACCGTGTCCGATGGGGAACGCCGGGACGGTGAGTACCGCATACGTCCAGAAATCCGTATACTAAATGTAGGCTACAGACATCCAGAACAAATCTAGCCAGATGATGCGGAAGGACAAGCAGGCTATGGACGGCGAGATGAGTGGGGATGAAGATGAACAGGATGAACTATTGGACAGTGACGGCGGGGTCGATGCAACAAAGGGGAAGAGTACGCAGGATGGTGAGTGAGTTTCATCTTTGTCGCTGATGACTCACAGGGTGCCGGCAGTTCCAGCTCGCAAGAGGAAGGCGAACGTGCTCTTTGACCAAGAGGAGGATGATGCAGAGGTGCAGCAGCGCGCACCCGACAAGAAGAAGCCGAAGAAGCAGGGCCCGGGCAATCTGCAACACCAGAGGAAGAGACGGACTTGGTTGAACGCCTCCGTGAGTGCATCGTCAAACATGGCTTACAGGTATGACGATCCATTGTGAATAGGACGAAGGGCCGGCAAAGCGAAGTCACAGGTGACTCAAGATGCCGAGGAGGAGAACAGTGCAGGGGAGGAGGAGACGGAGGACAGAGGCTCTCAGGACGACGGCAAGTACTGACAGTATCAATTATTATTAATTCACTGACAGTGCAGCTACAAGCCGAAGAAGAAGATGACGACCCTACTCCTCGTAACAGGAAGGCTTCCGCGCCAAAGACGCAGGCTACTCAGGTCAAGGGGAAGACCACGAAGAAGCAACTTCCTTACGACTTCTCCGACTCTGAAGATGACGACTCTTACAACCCACCCGCGAGTGATGGGGATGATAAGGACAGTGCCAGCATGCTGATAGAGGGAGAAGACCCCGACGACTTGGGCGAGGTAAGCTGGCTGCACATATTGATAACGCCACTGATCCTTGTTGTTCAGCTCGTGGCGAAGACTGAGGAAGAGTTGAAGCCGATGCCGAAGCCCAAACGCCGTGCAAAAGGGTCGGTTGCGAAAGCGGAGGGAGCCAAGGGCAAGAGCACCACCAAGCCCACCTCCCAGACCGAGGATCACGACGTTCTACTGGAAGAATGGCCCGACGACAAGCCTCTCCCAGATGACAGCCTGACGCGTGAACCCTTGAAGGGTTTGATGAACCGCGCCCAGCAGGAATTCAGGGTCCGGCTCGCCGTGTCGAACGCTTGGCCTCGCGTGAGGAAAACGGTCTTTCAAAAGGACGTGATCCCGCAGGATGTCATCCTCACCCTCATCAAGGACCCCTTGTACCAGAGGGAGAAGTTCCAGACGCTCTTCAAGCGGCTTTGGCGTGATGACTCCTGGCGAACAAAGATGACCCACAAGGTATGTCACTCACCTTCTGTTGACGTGGCTGACATCAGGACTTGGGAGCTCTAGGTCTACAAGGTCGCGTCGCAGATGAGACAGGAGCTGAAGCAGAAGGCGAAGCGGGTGGTGGAGAGAGAGTGGCTACCAGTGCTGCTCAGGGTGTCAGACAAGGGCCCAAATGGGCGGAAGCTCACTGCGGCCGCCTACAATGAGAAGGTCCAGAAGGCTCGGGATGCACGCGTCAACTTTCTCAAGGAGAACGACGTGTTTCATCACGGCCAAATCGAGTTGCCTGACCCTGAGGAGGACAACGCGGTACGTGTGCTGTAAATATAAAGTATGTTACTGATTTGTGTTAGGAGTTGCCTGAGGTCGATCTTGCGTTGCCGTTCCACAGCGACGTGCTGGCGGAGGTCATAGCGCGTCAATGGTGGCTAGGCCACCATCCGGAGGCTACTCGGCCTCAGAACAAAGCACGCTTCGACCTCAGCAAGCCCCTTCCCAGCAACATGATCGCTCTCGCTTGCTGCGCGGTGAGTGCAGTTTTTATTTCCACCGTTCCGGGCTGAGCTTGAGTCCGGCTGTTTAGCTGCTCGTTTGCCTGGATGAGGGGCAGAAGCCGAACGAGACCGTCAACTTCAACGAGAAGTCGTACGCCGTGCAGTAAGCCCTTTTATTGAACTCCTCACTATCTGGTGGGCTGGCTAAGAACATGACTGCAGCCACGATCGCTTCCAAGCCCGCATCGATAGGTGGAGGAAGCTCGTCCGGGACGGAGAAGCAGAGCTGGAGCAAAACCCTGACTCCGACAAATCTCAACGCTTGGCAGGGTTGCGGAACATGCTGCAGTCCATGGACGACACCCTCGCTTACAACATACGGTGAGTATCTTGGATTGTATTTGACATGTAACTAAAGAAGACAATCTGCTGCAACAGGAAGATTGCGCAGTTGGGAGAGGCAGAGCCTGATGGCGAGGAGGGAAGCGAGGACGTGGAGATGGACGATGGCGACATGATGCTCAACGACCTCTGGTTGAAGAAGGGGTCGTCCTCCAAGGCGAAGGATTCTGCAGCGTCGTCTGGCAGAAAGGCTTTGTCCGGAACATCTGGTGAGCCTAGCGAGGTGTCTTGAACGTCGGTATGTTGTTTTCGTGGCGGTGGGGTGTCAACTAGATTGAGTTCAATTATTGTGTGCTAATGAGTCCACAGAATCTCAAATACTCATATGCGTGGAAGAAGTCACAACAGTCGGCGTGTAAGATAACCTGCAGGGTGTCTGCATCTATACCAAGGTCCTCCCTCACTGTCGTCACCCGTAGCGTTGTTGTATCCTTTGCAGTCATGTAGTATGATTTGTTGTACAGTGTAAACGGTGGTATTATGGATTTTCTGCTGGGAAACCTGTGCGCTAGAGACCGATTGCGAAGTTGTCAGAGAGACTAATGAGTCATTGATGAAGGACTGAAAAAGGAAATGAAAATAGAAAGGGCCTACTCCACGAGCTATGCAAACTTGCTCATAAGTCGATTCAACACATCCATTAGACTATACAACTAAAATAAAAACAGGATACATAAAAGGCCAGCTCAGATTACAAAGAGCTTTATAGTAATAGAACTGAACGGTGAGTGCTCAAAAAGTAATTACTGAACTCCTCATAAAGTACACTCAAGGCTTTGACCATTCTCCAAATTAGGCGACTTGTGTTGAAGAGTGTTTGGTTCAGTCTTCAAGCCAAACCTCCTTTCAACCACTCTTCAAGGGCTTCACGAGACTTTATTGCTTCTTTCTGAGAATGTCAGTTTTTCCTGATGTACTGGCGCAGGCCCACGGATATCGGAACACGGCAGAAGCAAGCAGCGTGGGTATTAGTCATGTGATTTGTCAGGCACAGAGTCAGGGCCATCATAATATAGATCGCGACAGCATCTTATCTATCACCGGCAATCTAGGCAGGTGCACCCGAACAGATTCAGGTAAGTTCCACGACACACTGGCAAGCGTTCGCATCGACTGACTTATCCATCCACAGGATGGGCATGATTGGGGGCTACATACTGCCCGAGAGCAGTGTCCACGATTTCTGGGTGAAGAGGTGGGGTGAGCAGCACCTCCAGGATACCCCGGCGGATGAGGAGCCCGGCGCGTATGACGATGTCTCGCACGACATCGTCTACTTAATCGAGTGGGTGCGCTCGCTCCCAGAGACTCACCGCGTTGCACCAGTGAGCTGTGCGTACCCGCCCCATTTTTCGGATGCATTATTGACCCCCCCCCCGATAATATAGGGCTCCTCGGCAAGCAAGGCGAAACCGCCGTGATCATCACAGCGTGGGAGGATCAGAAGAGACACTTCCGTCGCATCCTCGAAGACAAAGCGCAGGAGCAGCTTCGGGACACATTCGTGCAGGCTGCCAACGAGGCTGCTGGGCACGATGTGTTTGCTGTGAAGGACCTTCAGTACTTCAGCATGTCGGAGCAATACCTTGTCCTTCCGCTTGCGATGTGAGTACCGACTCGGTTGTGCCGTTCGCTCCCGACGACTGACTTCGACTCTAACAGGTGCTATGACCGTCCGCGCGCGGCACGCGAAGTGCCGGTCAACAGCGCCCCCCAGAATGTGCGGGCCCGCAGCCGTGCCCGTAATGTGTCCCGGCACGGCTGAGTAGCACTTATGTCCTTCGATGTTGTTGTACCCTATACGCGTTGTATGATACTGTATGCCAGGCGAATGAGTACACAGTGGGCTCGCCGAGTGCGAGGCCGTTATAAGAAATTATATTGAATGTTCCTTCCAATGGAATAAACACTATCCCGGGGTAACGGACAGTAAGCGCAGTTCTCATGTCAGGGATGCCGATCGGACGCCCGACCGCGGACGCCCGACAGCGGACGCCCGACAGCGGACGCCCGACAGCGGACGCCCGACAGCGGACGCCCGACAGCGGACGCCCGACAGCGGACGCCCGACAGCGGACGCCCGAGGTCGGACGCCCGAGGTCGGACGAACGAGGTCGGATGAAGGAGGTCTGACGACCACAATCGCATACTCAATAGTTATACAAGTCACTCAGTATACATTCAATAATTATGGAGGAATGAACTCCATTGACGTCCAGCCTCTCCTGCACATGTATACACCACCCATGTTGTGTCATATGTACAGGGAAATCTAACCACGGCGAAGCTTTTTGGTAACCCGCTGCTCCTCCTTAGGAGACCCATGCACCCCTTTGCGGCCACGCTTCCTGATCCTCGCGCCGATTGCGGAAGCATCGGATCCGGTGCCCGGAGGATTCATAAGTCGCTTCGTCCGCTGAGGAACCTCCCGCCATTCTCGAGCCAATGCCTTGCAGGCATAAAGGAGGCGCTCCTTGACGAAATCATGGTCGTGGAGTGTCTGAAGTACATGTTCCGGCAAATTGTACTTATCGCGATTACTCGATAACGCCATTTCTAGATCGTGCAGCAGCATTCCTATGGTCAGGGCGACGGTCAGTGCCTCATCGACACTGATGGAAGTGTCCTTCATGCTCGTCGTTATCCGGGTGAGCCACGACTTGAATGCTCTGATCTCGGTTGCGTTCGTGTGGACAGCGGGCGGGCAATGAGACTTGCGGTAGGACCACATACCCCATTCCCAAGTCTTGGTTGTATGCCAAGATCCGGCGTGTGACTGCCAGGATATCATTGCTCAGCATGGAGAGTACACACTCACAATGCGGAAGCGTACCAACGGTGCAATGACTTCCAACAGCGCACAATAGTATTTGCTTCTTGACAGTTCCCGTAGGAACCGTAGCCGATCGAACATGTCGTCCCCCATTTTGGCAGGAGCCCCGATCTCAATCTCACAAACGTCATCTGGGTCCGCTGACGATGGCGACGACAGGCGATTTATGGCCGCTGGATCACCGCCGTCCGCCCGGGTCACTGAAGGCGATGCGACCGCCATCGGTACACCAGTTGTACCCGAAGGTCCTGTGGAGGCCATGCGAGCCGTACGGCGCATTGCATTGTGTGGCAGCGGCTTGCCTGGGCGAGCGGTCTTTGCCAAAAGCACGGACGGTAAGCGTGCAGCACTATTGCGCTCAACGGACAATGAGGCTGTAGTGAACGGTTGGGATGGTCCGGCACCGATCCCATCCGCCCGACGCTGACGGGGCACCACCCGCGGTGGCGGACAAGGCGAATCCGACCGCGGCTCGGGGCTGCCCTGATGGAGTGGACTGCTCATGCGCTCGATAACGAGACCCGATGTCAACTTGACAGGCGCCGTTCGTCGCTTCACATTCGGCCGTGTCGCCGGACGATGAGATGGCGCCGGACTAAAAAGATCGGACGGAAAAGGGCGATCAGCTCGTCCCTTGCCTTTCCGATCCACCGGGACGAAGACTGGTTGCAGGATTGGCGACGACACAGCGGATGGGATGCCCGTGTCTGATGCGGGCAGGATGTCAGAATGCGGACTTTGCTTTACCGTCAACATGTCGACGTCAAGCTCCGATTGCAGGTTCGCCAGGGGTTGTGGCGAGGCTCCCGGCGAAGGCAGGGCGGCCGACCTTTCTTGCTCGTGAGGAGGGGGGGGCGGGGTAGCGGGATCGCTGCCACTTGACGAGCTTGATGAATGGGACGTCGACGAAGAGGACGACGATTCCTTGTTAGATGAATCATGTTGGGTGGCGATATCCTCGCCACTGTATCCTTCATCCGACTGGCGTCCGGGTTGATTCTCCCGCTCATCATCACCGTCGGAAGCATCACTGTCTTTCGCCGGAGACACGCTAGCACGCTTTGAGGGACGTGTATTCGACCGACGACCCTTCGGACGGGGGGACGACTGACGGCGCGGGCGTGCGCTCCGGGCAGCGCGGCGGGAAGCAGTCCTCGGCTCCTCATGCTCCAGAGACACGATTTCGCTTTGATGGTTTCGGTAGGCAATGAAACGCATCACAAAGGCAAGCCGTGAGGAATTAGCCCTTGTACGCCAGTGTGCGATAAGAGAGTCAACCTCCGCCTGTTTCAGATGCGACGGTTCTTGGAGGGTGACACCGTTAGGAAGCGACCCGGCCTCGAGAAGCTTCTCCGGAGTCGCCTGGAGAGCGACCCAGGGGACTTTCAACTTCGGCATATTTGTATAGGCCACTGTTGCATCACTGTCAGCACCCAATGATATCACACAGATTGGATGCATACCGTAATGAAGCCGGACGAAGTCAGAAATAAAAGCCTTCTTGTTCCGTAGATTTTTGAAGCACTCGGCGCCGTGGTGGGGCATACAGGGGGTGTTGTCATCGTACATCTCCCAGTCAATCTTCGGCACACCCCGCTTACTCGCCCTGACATCCGCATCACTCTCCTCCGATAAGTCCTCGCCCGCTGCAATGAGGACATTGTGCATGAGCTACCCGGACTAGCCAGGACATGGTGCAGGCCATTCACGTACCGAACAATTTGTGCCCATAGTCCTTGAATAGATCTCGGAACCCGTCCGCACGTTTGTAGTCGGGGTACATGTCCTTGAATTTCACCCGACCCGCTGCACGCTGGGCGTTGGGGTCGACAAGGTCGTTGCAATCAAAGCTGGTGATAACGGAAGGATGAGAATATATGGAGTCAATTACAACGGTGGTACTCACTCGATTAAACACGGTTTCCCTTCCAGGGATTTGTAAACGGCGTGGACGAACACACGCATGCCGAAGTTCCTCCAGACGTAATTTGCGAAGTCTAACATGACCGCTTCGCTCTTCCGAACGATGTTCCGGTCCTGCAATTCATGAGGTTGACCTTCCGAGTTCCATCGGACGGCCTCCTGCTTGTACTCCCGCTGTTTCGCCCGGGGCAGACTGTTGGCCAGATTGCGCAGCTCCTTTTGATAAGTCGCGAGAAAGTCCTTGTCTCCGTGGGTGACCCCAGTCGCAGCCATCTTCTCATCCAACTCCGCGGGCATGTGCCAAGCTACCACACGGTGCCAGTTGAGCCGCCGGCCGAACACAGCAGGACGGTCTTTCCGTTTCTTGTTCTTAACAGGTGCGGCATTGTAAAACCAAGCCCGAACAGCCTGATTATTCATTATACAATGTATCCGCACTGCACGACAACCTACGTACCTTTTTTCCCTCCTTCTTCAACGGCTTTCCCCGGTGGGCCTCCAACTTCTCGACGGCACGCGACCGGACATCTTTACGGTCATTTGAGTCACCCGCCTTCCACTCCGGGAGGAAGCTACGCAGGATGAGGAGTTCACCAGGAGTATACGATGTGGCCGGCATGGTGGGTGGAGAGAGCTATGGTGACAGCGCACACAGTCCCAGCTGGACGCTGCACCTCCCATGCGTTTGCCTCATGGAACTAGGCGCCCGTAACTTCTCGTCGGCTATGATGCGACAATATCTGTGAATATTGGGCCATGTCGAGTTTCCGATATTAGACACACTACGCCACAGCAGCATATTTGAATGCAGCTTTCCACAGACACCAATCACAACATAACTCGCCAGCCCGGCGGCCATGTCCGAGCAACTCGGAGGGAGCTAGCCGAGGGTGCGGTATCCTCAAGGTGAACACGTTTCCGGGACAGTCATTCCCCAAGTCTGTCGAGCGACCTTGTCCACTACCCACCTGCTGCACGATGGCGAAGCCCAGGGTAAAGCGACGATGCAGCTCCCCCAAAGTTCAAGAAGTCGAGATACAACGGAAACAGACCTCAAGAGGACTCAGGACACGACTTGTAGTCTTACCGGACGAAGGCCCATCCACACCAAAGTCCTCAGCGACACCGTCGGCACCGACCGCAGGTCAATCGAAGGGCTCTAAAGCGTCGGGACCGACTGCAAGTCAATCGAAGGGCTCTAAACCGTCGGCACCGACAACACGTCGGTCGAAGGGCCTGTGGACACCGCAGTCAACCGTCGACCCGCCCGATCACCCTGTCGGGCCTTCCACTCCACCGCCTCTTCCGTCGGGCCCCCACCAACCACAGCGCCGTGCCCGGGCCCCAAAGGTGGGATTAATGCACATCCGCATATCGGCAAGGCGGCTAACAATTGGGTAGACCCAACCGGACATGATGACAGCTTGGCTTGAGTACCGGGATGAGTATCTGCGGCACATGTACACTGCCCATGCCCCACCGACACCCGACGATACCGGCGAAGCGACATGCGACAAATGCTCGGCTGGGTCCGCAGAGTGGAAGTGCCTCTCTTGCTTCGGCCGGCCGGTGCTCTGCGATTCATGCTGCCTGCGGGAGCACGCCCGCCTGCCTTTCCATCGCCTGGAGCAATGGACCAATGCGGGTTTCTGGGCCCCTTCCTGGCTTCGAACCCTAGGCCTTCGCATTCACCTCGGTCACGAAGGCGCTCCATGTCCGTGTGTTGACGAGCCCGACAATGAGAGTGACTGGTCGGATGACGATTCTTGCAATGAATCCGACAGTGGTGAAGAGGATGAGGAAACCCTCGGTGATCCCCTGCGTGATGCGGCCGGGGTTGAGCGGGCTCCGGAAATGCATATGACAATTGTCGATACGTCCGCCGTGCACTTCCTCCGCGTCGAATGCTGCCGTTGCCCTCAGGCGGAGTCAATTCGCGGTCAGCTCCTCCAGGCCGGGCTTTACCCGGCAAGCCAGCTGAATGTCAAAACGTGTTTTACCTTCGACGTTCTGGATGACTTCCTCCTCGACAATCTCGAATGCAAGACGTCCGCGATGAACTATTATCGCCGACTTCGCCGGAAGACCAATCCGGCATTCCCGCATCGTGTGCCGGTAAGTCATGTCACCCTTGCGGACGGTTCGCCTTGTTCATTAGCACACTGCAGGATCGCTATGCGGAATTCATTCGTGCAACAAGACAATGGACGCTTCTCCGGGCTATGATGCAGTTCGGATTCGGGCCGACATGGCGGGGCGAACCGGGCACGGGCGACCTTGCACTATTTTGTGCTGCCTGCCCACAGCCCGGAGTGAACATTCCAGATGACTGGGACAGTGACCCGAATGCGTGAGTGACCGGGCCGTAAGCCGCGAGCAGCAATTGAACGTACGGACAGGTACATTTACGCTCGAGGCTATGTCATGGACGGTAACTTCTCCGCCGAGCATATGAAGATGCGGAAGCCGGGAAACGATGTTCCGCTTATGCCCGGGAAGGCGTTCATGGTGACGGATGAAGAATTAGCACCTCATTTGAAGTCATCCACTGATATAAAAATGGTGTGTGTGGTGAAAGTTGTGTTGAGGGTTGTGCTGATTCAGTACAAGAAACCGACATGCAATGACCACCAAGCTATCGCTCGGGCCAATGCTCACCGCCACAAATTACAGTCTACGGGAATTGGGGCCACGGCTTGCTCACGGCACGGATGTTTCTTTCCACATGCGGTTGTCAACTTCCAGGCCGGTGAGCGGCAGAAGAACATGGATTACACGCTGTCGGAAGCTATGAGTTACCGATCGGACGGCATTCGGAACGCCATCGTGCTGTACGACGTGATGTGTCAGTATGGGGTGCACCTTCCAAAACGCTTCAAGGACGGTCCGCGGCTCCGGATGCCGCGGGGCCTTACCCTTTACCTCGGCATCGGCTTGTTCCATGTACATGGCCACCAGTCGAAGTGCCTCCTCGAGTACGCCCCGACGTTCATGCGCGGCGCCGGACAAGTGGATGGGGAGATCGTCGAAACGATGTGGTCTCCATTGGGTAAGGTGTTCGGAAGTACTCGGACGATGGCGACGTCGCATCGGCAAGAAACTCTTGACCGTCATATGAACGACTGGAATTGGCGGAAAATGGTCTCATTAGGTGCGGGAAGCAAATCAACTGTCCGGTGTTGCAGGTTCTCACCCCCTTCCAGTCCCAGCATTGAAGAAGCGCATTGCCGCAAACCGGGTACTCCTTGAGAGCTTCCGAGAGGCGCTGGAGGATCAGGAAGCCGGGATCGAAGCCGACATCCTGGCTCAATGGATGTCAGCGGTCGCGGAAGCCCACAAAAAGCGTGTGAAGGATGTATCAGTGATGGACGCATTTGAGGTTCAGGGCCAGCATGGTGGGTGGCGGGTGGCGGATATTACACCACTGATCGCTGACATGTAGAGTAGCTCCGTCAAGGGCGGAAATACAAATCGGTCTGACCGAAAAAGAAGGCGATAACAACACCATCGTCGGAGCAGCGGAGTGGATGGTTGAGGGAATGAGGATTGAGGATGCACAGTGTGTAATTACAATCCCGCCGCCGACATTCAACGCTCACACTCCGACAGAATTGCGCTGCAGCGGGTAGTAAGGGCCTATGGGACAAAGACAACGGCAGAGCAGCGTTTGAACATCGCAAAACAGAGAAAACGGCTCGAACTCCGGATCGAGCGCTTCCTAAGGAAGGGGGAGGAGATTGTGGGTACGAACGAATGGGACGACGGTCGGCAGCATACCGAGGTTATCGATGACAACGGTGACCTATCCGACTGGGAAGACATGCAGAACAACGGCCAAGCAGCCGCCGGGCCCAACGTAACAGGCAATGTCCCGGCTTCTACTCCGAAATCAAGAAAGCGAGATGGGAGGGCAGCGGAGTGGCGGCCGTTGTCACTTCCATCGTCCTACTCTGTCGACACGATCAAGACTGCGGACGTGCAGCCATATGCAAAAGCGGAACTGGAGCTACGAATCGGGCAAGCGAACGACATCTTGCACCAATTGCGGATATTGCTCAGCCAAAAGTCGTTTGTAATGCGAGCGAAGGTGCGCGATGCCAAGTCGCAGTCGCGGAAGACACGGGCGTGGGCGGATGTGCATGCCGTTCAGAAAGGAGTGGAACACCAGGCCCGTATGTACAGGAAGGTGCGGCATGCGATGACAGTGCTCGGAGCAACAACGTCAACCCTTCGAAAGTACCAAAAATTGGTGCCTGACGATTTGAAGGTCAGCACAGCAATTGTAGAACCGAACCAGAGGGGGCAGCGACATACCCGGCTACCCTGGATATGGACGACGGATGTTCAAGGCGATATGAACGCAAATGAGACAATGACGGAATGTAAGCAGGTTGCCGGTCACAGTACATCTACAGAGTCATGATTTTTTACAGTACACCGTGTGCATTGGTTCCGAGCACGGTCACAGTTCGAGCGAGCCGAAGAAGAGGACAATATCCTCCGCCGAGAGCTGGATTCTGTCCGGAGATACTTTGAGTACGAGATGAAACGGTGGGCAGACCATGCCGCCCACCGGAAGAGCGGAAGGTATCCTGGGTATGCGGAGGTGTGCCGTCAGCGGCGACATATGTTCAAAATGCTCCAGAATGATGCTGAGACTGCATATGGTATCATGTACCTTGGACGGTAATACAAACGGCCTCCTTGTATATTTACCGCTGTCCGAATTTCCCAACACTTCGGGCGTCCGACCGCGGACGCCCGATGTCGGACGCCCGATGTCGGACGCCCGATGTCGGACGCCCGATGTCGGACGCCCGATGTCGGACGCCCGAGGTCGGACGCCCGATCGCGGATGTGTCCTCTTCCTACACTGTCATGGTTCAATAACGCGGACGAGGCACACAGGTTCATCATGTATTCGGTCATGCTACAAACGAATATATCTAATACCTAGCTAAAAGTCGACTGTCAGCCAACTGGTCTTCTTCACCTTCGCCCATTTGTGTACTTGGGGTCTAAGGTAGTATACAACGCAAAGCCTCTCCCTATTGGAATGTGATACGGAGTGAGGGATTAGGGCCCCGGAGAACAAAGCCGCGCACCCGCCGGCGTACTGTAAGGTGAGGCCGAGGGTCGGGAGCTCTAATACCGTGTCGTTGTCCCCACCAATCGTGATGAGGAGATCGTACCAATCCTTTGCCGACATTCGGTCAAGGTGGAGGGGCGATCGGCGGTTGGTGATAACGGACATGGCATTGAATGGAGTACCCCACAAGGGGAGCACGTCCGCAATGTCGGGACAAATCCGAGTTGAGGCGAGCGCCGCATAGCCCATAGCATGTAACTCCGGATGAATTATCCGGAGCATGCCCGCAATGAGGGCGTGCTGCTCTGTCATTGCCCGGAACCAATCCCGGCCGGGAGATTGTTCTTCCGATAAAGTTGAGGACACCTGTGGCGGATATGTAGTGCCCTGGGGGAGACAACATCAGTCCGGCACTGCTGGTGCGCACTGCTGCATACCTGGTGACCTTGCTGGTACCAACCCGGGGAGAAAGATATGCACCCGGGATCCAGGCTTTGCCATTGTCCGGTTGCCGCGAAGTTGTCCGGGTGATTCCGCCATGTTGTCGAAGCCTGCCCACGAGACTTTGCGAGCATCGGATTGAGTAGAAACGTATTTTCCCATATCTTAAGCTGCACGCTGTGTTTATTAGCATCACCATAAGCAGGGAAGGTATAACGCTCGCCTGCTGCTCGGCCGTTATGATACCAGGCAGGTACCAAAGCAGAACATGCCCCAGTGCATCGACGACGGTGGCGGGCTGTGTAAAAATACCGTCGCCGAGTTCGAGGGGCGGGAATTCCTTCATGGCGCGATGAAGGCGCGGCATTGTCCGGTCAGAGATTTCCGCCGGGATAGCCTCCGCATAATCCTCTGCATTCCAATTCACGAAAACTTGGCTTTGCAGTGAGCTTAGGTGTGTCGCCAAGACATACACCATACTCACTTCGACGAAGAAAGGCTTCCTTAATAATTTCGACCATTTGGTGTGCCTGGCCGATCATTTCCACACTAAAGTCGGCGTCCGGCGCGGGCGACAGATTCTGCCCAGCGGTGCCAGCCAAGTAAGCTAGTCTATACTCATACAGTGCAATCATATAATTGGCCGCGCGAATGTCGAGACTGTCGGCGGACATGGCGGGAGGAGATTGTGTTGATCATGCGGGAAGGTTTGATGGGATTTTCACAGGGTCTGTATAGTTTGTACAACAGTCACACGCAAAAGCTGTGGCTGGTAAGTGTCTATTAATGGTGTTATATGCCCGGGAGATCGGCAGGTCTCCTTGTGATCAGGGCATGATGGGAGCCCGGGCTGAACTTTCCGGCGGTACCTTATCACGATTCAATAGTAATTGGAACGTCAGCATTCGGGCACAACCGGGCTCCATCCGAAATGCTGAGGATGCACACTGGTGGTGTTTGGGATGGCTAAACTGACGAACCAGCCAACACTAAGGAAAGGAACAGAGAGGGAGCGGGCTGGCAAATGTTTAGTGGAAGTAAATACGTTCGGCTGAAGCCCGGCCGAGTTCGCGACCGCACGACGCTCAGGTATTAGCCGGTTGACAATATGTTGGCCGGCAGGGTTACAACGATGTGATCGGACGCCGGCCGCGCACCGATTGTTGGCAGTAGTCAAATGTCGGCCGCACAGATTGAAGTCCATGTATCATATAGAACATGTCGCCAGCTGTCCAGCAACAATAGGAGCATTGATACGGGTGCGATGTCGGCCGACCGGGCAACAGTGAGGCCAAGACAAATTGGATGAATCACAAAGAATTCCAGTATGCGGATCCCCGGGTGGTCGGCCGACCGGACTGTCACGGCTTGTCTTATGACCGGCCGCTGTGGGAGCAGCATCTTGTCCAACCACCGGCCGACTGGGTACAGACCCATCCGTCAGACCCTCGGCCGACCGGGTGTATATGGTGAGATTTGACCGTCGGCCGCTCCGTGAACGCCGACGAATCATACCATCGGCCGACCCGTGGGTGATGACAATACAGAATGTCAATCCGCACACACCCTGTGAGCCCTGGTTGGAAACACCCCCCCATCCAACTCGTCGGCCCATCCGAGGGTAGCCGGAAGTTCCATGCATCGGCCGACGCGGGTAATGACGGCTGAGTCGAACCGTCGGCCGACGTCGGGTGGCCGGGCAACAATAAGTGAATCTCATGTCGGGTGGCCGGGTAACAAACCGATAGTTTGACCCCATTATGTGCAAACGCGGTCCGTATCGGGGCGACGTCGGATTTGTGGAATGCGTGGATAACAGCAAAATGGCTGTCGTCTGGTGTGTGCCGCGCATTGACCTTGGCCCCCAGCCGGGAGGGTCGAAGGAGGGATACGAGGATGAAGATGAGAGCGGAGAGGCGGCGGAGCGGGGACAGGAGCATGCGACGCGAGAGGAGGGAGGATCGGTGGAAGGATCTCGGCGTCGAGACGAGGAACAGAGTGAGAAGGTGAAGGATGGGAAGCAGGTCGAGGAACGGCCAGAGGCGAGGTCGCAGGGTCGTCAACGGCACGCGAAGGCTCCTTTCAGGCCTGAACAGGTCGCCAGTCTCTACGGGAAGAGCGCCGTTCGCGCCGATGGTGACACGTTCGTGTTCCGTGGCCAGCATTATCAAGGTGGCCTGGTGCGACAGGAAGTGGAGGTGGCCAATTTGTCCATGAGCCATGTCTTCAGCTATACGCTGTATCGTGTCTGCTTGACGGCTCCGCAAATCCCACAAGACCAGGTCGAGGTGTACTTTGCCCACCACTACGCGAAGGGACTTCAAATCGATGAACGTGTCAAGATTGTGGAGGGGGAGCAGCGAGGTAGCACAGCGTGGATCGAAAACGTGGATGGCGAGTTGGCCGTCGTCAAGCTCGACATCTACGATCTATCCGTGCATGTCCCGCTTCGTCATTTGCGCAGACACATCGTCGTCGGCGATACAGTCGCAGTGGTCGTGGGCGTAAACAACGGGAAATGGGGCAGTGTCACTCAGATAGATGGTGGATTGCTCAGCATCGTTTCCCCTAACGGTGAGGCTGACGTACGTATCTCTGTTCCATATACGCATCAAGTACTTACTATGCGACAGGTGACTGTGGATGCACGGTTCGTACAGTTCTACAATCCCCCCCGTCATGCTGCAAGGGGTAAACGGGCCGGCTGGAACCAATTGTCCATTGCGCCCAATCTTGATGCGTCCACCCTGCATCTGTCCCTTCTGGAGGTGCAGACGGTGGCGGACTTGCGATCACGGCGACATCTGTGCATCAGCAAACGCGTTGCCATTACCCACGGCCCCTTCAAATCCTACAGGGGGATAGTCAAGGCCCTCGGTCAAGAAGACCATTTCATCGTAGAGCTGGACGCGCCCAGAGGGCGCACACACCCTGTGCATTGGCGACATCTCGCCTTGATATGGTAAGTGACGTACAACATGGTATCTACTGGTTCTCAAGGTTTTTAGGGACGGCCTCCTCGTGCCGCTAGACCCGAGTAAGGAGTCAACACCCTTCACTATACCAGGGGAAGTGGAGGGATCACGGCTTAGGCGCGAGCGGACGCCAGAGCCCCAGATGTCAGACCTTGATCCATCGGCGCTGGATTATTTGGAGAGGGCAGAGGAGTTGGGTTGGGGACTTGGCGCAGGGCCTAGAGTGGACCCAGGTATGTTATGAGCTTATTGACCTTTCAATCGTCTCACGCGATGTTAGATCTATCCTGTGCGTGGTTGTATGATCCCGACATGCGATCTGCGCTTCGAAGTCACGAAGTCCGCGTTATCATCCGTGGAACCAAGAGCCCGGAAGTCTTTCTCGGTGGAGAGTGGGAGTCGAAAATGGTGAAGACGGACAAGACCGCAGAGCTGTGTACCGTGAAGTCTCAGCCTGCGGTCGTTATACGAAGCTTAGCTCCGCCTGCCCGGATCGCCGAGTTTCCGATCCGTTACTTACATACTATACCCGGAGGTAAAGGCAAAAAGGTGCTGGTTGTCCGCGGTCAGCATAAAGGACGAGCAGGCCAGGTGACACGCGTCGCCGGAAAACAAGTTATAGTGAAGCCTTTTGACGGTAACGACTCTCCATTTGAGGATCTACTGGAGCATGTAGTACTGTTAGCGTAGTTGTAGTCGTTCTCAGTACGGACCGGATATGGTGGCTGTTGCCGTTTTAAGACCCGTGTACATTGTATGAGTCATTGTGATCGCTTCCCATATATTTAATCTTTGTCTACCCTTCGGGGAAGGGCCGCACCAATCGTCAAAAGATGACTGGTAAGCGTGTCCTTTTGTCCTTGCTGATGATCCGCCGCTTGTAACCGATCCCACCACGGTCTGCGGCACGACAGTCCTATTGTCTATTGTCGTGCAGCTGTACTAAGTTACCCGTCCTTAGGACGTATTTATATCTCAGGTCCCGCCGTCTTCGCCCCAGTTCACCATGAGCGACGATCGCCAGCAACCGAGGGAGCTGTTAAGGGGTACCAATGGATGGTACTTCTTGGGGATGAACAAGGTACTCAGATCAGTTCATTATGTCGCGTTCTACACTCACTAACTGTTTACTGGAAGCATGCCGATGCAGCAGCGGCTGGTGTGCCCGAAGGCGATGAACCCATGGACGGTGGTGCTGGACGGTCGGCTGATACAGGTATGCTCAACCTGTTTCTTTAAAAAACTACTGTAGCTGAGCATCTCGTGTCCAGACAACGACGACATGGAAGAACGGGAGGTCGAAGGCGCTGTCCAGGACGCGCGGTTCCAAACTATCGATCAGGATAGTTCTGTGCTGGCCACGCCCGTTCGCAAGCCAATGGCGAGTATTGAAGAACGTAGCATTTAGTCTAACGCTAATGTGTACACTCCTTTAGCTGGCGGCATCGTCGCCGCCCCGGTTGGCCCCATTGACACCAGACCAGCGTGTGGATAAATTGGTGTGCCTGTAGTATACCTCGTTTTGCACTCCCATGCTGATCGCCACCAAGAGGGATCTATTAAACAACCTAGCTATGGACCATCCTGATAAGGCGGTGAGTAATGAGTTGGCGGTCCGGCGGCGTATTTGACCGAAAATACAGAGATCCTTGATCGAGCAAGTCCAGCAGACGTTGCCCGAGGGAGCGAAGGATCAGGTATTCATTCTGTTGTAACTTCAATGCAGATATTGACCAGAAGTATACAGAGCGGGACCCAGGTATCACCATCTGCTGCAGTGAAGACTACGTCTGCCAACAATGGCGATCCCGTTGACCAGGACGGCGATGATGAGGAAGATGACGAAGTGGTTCGTACTAAGGGTGTGAAGCGGGGTCCGCGTGATCACAATATGTTCAACGTGAGTTCCGGGAGCCTTTCATTACTTACGAATGCTAATGATCTGTCAGCGGTATTTCCGTGACTGGCTGAAAGCCAAGAATGTGCCGCTGAAATACGAACGAGTCAAACCAATCTCGGCAACCCTATTCACGGTCCAATCGTGGCTGAATGGTCATGGGCCAGGGCCTGATACGTCTCACCCGCTCCTCGATTGGGATACTCCAATGAGTGAAGCGTGGAACAGTGAGACGATTGTCGTACTTTCTAACGCCTTCCTCGGGGAGATCGCGGTGAACATGCACCTTCCGCTCACAGTCAGGGACTGCCCAGCCCGTCCGGCTGTATATGTCAACCTAACCAAGAAGCTACAGAAGGTGCAGACGGATTACAACAAGCACCGGCTGCTTACTGCCGAAGCTTACGTTGAAGAGAAAAGCAAACTCAAGGCGGAGACTAGGCGCAATGTCCGGCGAAATGGGGTAAGCCTGCATTCGTGTTTTCTTGGCTTTACTTACACAATATTTCAGACATACGAGCGTCGGCAGCGCATCGTTCGCCTCAACTTCGAGACCGACCCCGATTTATGGAAGGAGGTTGCGAAGGTCGTCGACCTCCTCAACGTCGGCGCGATGAGTTCCGATCATACGGACGATGGCTCTACCCCCAAGAGGAAAACCGTTACGCGCGCGCGAACCCCTTGGCGTGCAGCGGAAGTAGCAGACCTGATGCAAGCATTGGAAAGCTATCCGGTGGGGGGTTCGGCAGCGGGCAACAAGCCCTACCTCAGGACGTTCGATCTTCTCAAGGCGCCGATTTCGGGTCGCAAGGTGATCCCCAAGTTGCCCATTAATTTCTACGACCGTCATTGGTATGCAGCCCAAGGTCAGGCGGTGAAGCATACACTTGCTGTAGGCAGGCCAGTCTATATTCCGGGCCTCCCGCTCCATGTAAGTGTGCGTTTTTCTTGTATAACAGAAAAATTCTGACCTTCATATAGTCAGAGGCGTCGTAATTACTAGTACGGACAAAGCTGTCGTCGCGTAACTTGTAGACAATATACAATGCGTCTTTTGTCAAACAACCGTGAGAGTTCTTGGCGGGGTCAGGCGCTGCAGACACAAGCGCACCCATCGGCGACCAGCTCGACTACGAAGGCTAGGCGGTCCATCAGCATCAGCAAATCAGGCAATTTCTGAGCATCTGGGAGACTGACGGAGACCCCTCAGAGCGACTCAGAGGATCAGACAGCTCAGAAACTTCAGAGTAGTTCAGACTCGTCAGATAATCCAACAAGCTAACAAGGTTGTAAGACTATCCCATCAAGACACTGTCTATTCAATTCTGATAATTGCAGTAGTCACGATATTATTGCTCATATATCAATGGCTCGAGAACAATGTACATAGAGAGCACATAGTGGGTACCAGTCATACCATCTATTCTCACTCTCGCACCGTCTGCTGTCTCGCCCACGCTGTCTGCCGCGTCGCCCGTGTCATTTGCCCATGTTGTAGGCTGCCGACCCACCCAGTCCATATACCCTCTCTCTCTCCCCATCTGTCGTCTCGTCCGCGCCATCTACTCACTCTTTTGCGGTGTCTGCCAACTCGTCTGCCATCCCACTTGCCTTGTCTGCCATCCTACTCGCACGGGCCGGCAGGACTCGCAGATCATCCTTCACCCTGGCCACAAACGTTCACCGGATGAGCGTGCGGGCCGGCACATTTGTGAGTGGGCAGCACAAGCCATGCTGGTGCGCGTAGACGTTCGCTGGTAATGGGGCACATGAGGGCGGAGAGCGGAGTTCGAGGACTGGCGGGAACGTGTAGATGGAGTCATTCAGCACCAGGAGGTCGAAGGACACAGCGTAGGCTGTGCCGTACGCGAGCCGATTGCCAGGTCATTCGTGATTCACACGGTGCTCGTCAAGATGTGGTGGGCAGCATTGTGGTTAACCGTGAGACGTCGCGCGACGTGAGCTAGTGTACGGACATGCGCGCGCAGTCGTCGGTAGACCCTGTGAGACGAACATTTATGAGTAGAGTAAGACAGTTGTTGATACTCGTACGTACCTTCGTTCATGCGTCGAGTGTAGTACGGTATGAGGGAAGTCAATTCGCGAGCGATGTACTGCAGGTGTGCGCGTCGGGATGTAAGTCCATGAATATCAAACAGTATTGGTGAACGAACTTCGGGCTGCGTGTATCAGGCCGAGCACGGGTATACCTATGGGTATCCCGAGCTCGACCCGTACCCATGACCCGCCCGGGAACAGACTCACCTGAGCTAGTACGGATTTTGTGCGGGTGAAGGCGCGGTTACGGGTCCACGGGTAAGCGGACGAGCAGGAGCGTGGGCCAGAGAAAATGGAAGCCAGACAAGTGGACTAATGGGTGGGCAGGCCAGCAAGCGTGTGAGACTGTGGGCTAGAGAGATCGTGCGGGCGGAAGGCAGCGCAATTGAGAGGCAGCGCCGGCGGATATGCAGGCGGCGGGTGGGCGGGTGAATTGGCGAGCGAGCGGGCGAGCGCGGAGGGGTGAGCTGGTACGATGGCGCGTGTGCGGGCGGGCAGGACATCGAGGATGATGGCGGACGAGCAGGAACGCACGGGCGAGAGAGCTGGTGAGAAGGCGGGCGGACGAGAGGGATAGAGCAGACACGTGAGCTACCAAGAGGGTAAGGACGAGTAGGGGAGAACGTGCGAGCGAGCAAACCAGCAAGAAGGCGAGGGCGGGCGGGCAAGCTAGCGAGGGAGCGAGTGGGCAGGCGAGCAAGCTAACAAGGGGAGTAGGTAGACGTGCGTGTGTGCGAGCGAGTAGACAGGTAGGCGTGCTATTCGTAGTAACTTGAAGAGGGCTGGCGAGCAAGCGAAGCAGGTAACACGCACTCACCTGTACTATCCCTTCTGCTATTCCTTCCGTGACCCGCTTCCCCCAGTCCGTGTTGCCCTCGCTTCTCCGTCGTTTTCTGCGTAGGCTTTGAGTTCGACGCTTCCGCGCAGTGTTGAACGTTGAGGAGGAGGCGTCGACGTGGAGGCTACGACTTGCGAGAAGTGCTGCAGCTAAGCGCCTCAGACACGACACGTCACGCGCGCTCGCCGGACTTCCTCTCGACACTCGAATCTCACAGTCCGGCTTCAGCCCCTCCTCCCTCTCTGCTTCGCCCTCGCTTGCCCACCGCCGACCTCCAGTACAGACCGGTGGACCCGTCCGCAAGAGACGGCCCGTGCATCGGACCCCTGCAAGGCTCAAGATCGCGCTGTACGCGACTGCAACGAGCCCCAGCGACGCGCCAAGAGTGTCGTTGGAGGCTCGCGAAGGGCTAACATGCAGGGAGGAACACGGGTTGTGGCCAACAGGGCCAGCGAGTCAAGTGAGTATGCCGCCTTTCACCTCTACTCCGGGAATGCCCAGTCAGGACGAGTGGAAGGAGTCGAACACGACGGAGACAACCCCGGTGCACGTTCGCCCAACGAGCACAAGCGCATACGGATACGACGCGCACTGGTACGACAAGGCCAGCTCGTCGCACACCAATACGATGTGCCCAAGTCCGGTATGATACCGTTCAACGAGCAGGACCGCGATGCGCAACAGCCTGCCAGGCACCCGGCGCGGCGTGCAAGGGCCCGCCGAGCATCAGCCCGGTATGTCCCTGTCCGATGCGCATAAGCTTGTTGAGGACGAGCACCCCACGGTGTCCCCTTACTGGGTTGTCTGCTAACTCGCTCGCTCGCCGACTCAGTCACCCGCTTTCGCCCTCGCTCTCTCCCTAGCTTGCCCACCCGCTCGCCTGCCGTCTTGCTCACCCGTTGTTCCACTCGCCTGGCGTTTCGCGCGCCCACCGCTCCACTCACTCATTGTCCAATTCGCCTGTCACTTCTCTCGCCCGCCGTCCTGTTCACCCACCGTCTCGCTCTCCCTGTCCTGTCGTCCCTTACACTTGTGTCCCTCTCGCCGCCCTACTGACTTACCATGTCGCTCACCCACTGGCCCGCATGCCCGCACAAACCCGTGCATGACCCTTCGAGCATGAACATGCCAGTGGCGAGGAGGAGCATGGCCCGCCCGCCATACTTACACCCCGACGAGCCCGAGCCGAGCGAGTGCCAGCCCGCCCAGTGCCGCTCCGTGCAAGTCCGCCGCGCAATGACCCACGAGCGAGTGCGAGCTCATCAAGCCTGGCACATGCGAGCCCGACAGATGGTCGACACGCACGTTCCTCATGCCGCGGACGCTGCGCCACATACCGCGGACGGACCCACCAGCATCGAAGAAGTGGCCGCTTACAGATACGGATCACGAACCGATGCGCACTGGTACGGCGCGGCCAGTTCGCCGTACATAACGCGCCCAAGTCCGGTACGATGCAGCTCAACGAGCCGCATTGCAACAAGCAATACTCCACCAGGCGCCCGGCGCGGCGTGCAAGCCCCAGCTCGACGCGCATAGGCCCATGAAGGATAAGCGTGCCATATCCCAGCCCGAGAAGTCGGCTGCCGAGTACGAACACAACGAGCGGGGGAGTGAGTCTGCCACGTACATTCACTGGGCAGATGGTAGCTTGTACAAGTGTACGATTAGCAAGCACGATTTTGTACAGTAGTAGCAATCAATAGAATATGATTGAATCAATTTCTACATCCTGGCTGATCTGGCTGATCGGGCTGACGAGCTGGGTAGTCTGACAGGGTGTCTGAACACTCTGAAAATCCTGTCTGACGAGTTAGCATTGAAAAAATTTGAGGTCATGAGGGCTGAAAATCTGAAGCAATCTGGGGCAATCTGAAGGCTTCTGAAGGCTTCTGAAGCCCCTGACAGGGCCCTCAGACAGATTGCATGATTTCCTGATGCAGTATGTAAGTGGCGCCCACTAGTGTCCATATGTACGCTTCTGATCGCTTCGTACCGTAGTCATGATCGCCCCATACAAATTAGCGAGCCTCTCATGGGATGGCGCTTGAGCGCATGCCGTAAGTATTTTTCTATATAGTCAAGGGTGCGTCGCTTGTCCTCTCAACGACGCACCCCCCACAATGCCTCTCCGCTCCCTGTCGTCGTTAGCTGGCTGCACGCCGCCCCTTCGCTCGTTAGACCTTTCTTTCGATCCTCTTTCTTGCCCGTCGATCGGCGCATATCGCATCGCCGCCATCTCCCCGCGCTTCGGCGGAAGCTACATTTTTGGTGCAGTCGCAACCAGCCTCAGCCAGCTGCTCGGCCTGGGCCAGCCCATCTGTCTCGTGGTGGCAGACAATAACCGCACATATTACGGTCGTCTCGCTCAAATCTGTGCCGTAGGCGCGTCGAAAGTTCTCTTCCGTGTTGTGTCCGACCTCGGTGACTCCTACCTCCTCGTATGTGAGGAGGCAGCGTGCGAGCTACCTCTAGCCGCGAAGATGCGGAAGTGGTTTATGCCCTCGAAGTGGCTAGCCATCTTCCAGTTCCACACCGATGTCCAATACGCCGACGTCTCACCACTCCGTCCGTACTATCATCGCCCGCCTGCTCCGAAGCCGTCGTTCGTAACGTTGATGTGGAGTTCAACGGAAGACTGGGTGCACGCAGTGTAACCTGGTATGTTCATTTTCTTCACTGTCATAATGTGAATCACTGACCACGTTGTTGTAGTTGTCAAATTGAACTTCATTGCACGCCAATGTGTGCACTCGAGATGGACGAATGGTTGGACTGGTTGATTGTGCTTGGATTGGTTGACATGCTTGGACTGATTGATCGTGGTTGTGCTCGTGTTCATGCATTATAGATACTGTTCTGGACCCGTAATGTCATTCCGCGCGTTTTATGACAAACTGATGTGAAATTGAGAGACTCCTCTACACTAAGGTATTGCAATAGACGATCACGACGCCGCTCAGCGGGCCACTCAGGGGGCTATGATTGACACGCTCATATAGGGCCGCCGAAAATCCAGCATTTCTGCCCGAGATTTGCGAGTTGCCCAAATCTCGTCCTAAGCCCAGCATTTGCGCTCGAATACGCGACGAGCCCAAATTCAAAATTTACGAGTGTCGTATATTTTGCATTTCAGACACCATTTACGACGAACCTACTGATAGCATTCTCGGCCGAGTTTACGGTGGCCTCGTATGGTAATCCCGTTTTTGAACTTTGGTCTTGCATATTGTCTCACCCCTTATCCGTCGTCTCTTAACTTGAATACACGCCCGTCCCGTGTTCTACGTTTACGCCCGAGATTTTCGGCGGGCCAATATCCTGCCTTATATGGATACTTTAGGCTCGAATATCCGCTGACCCCAAATTGCGTCCTATCGGTCACAATTTGGGAAAGCATTTGAGCCCCATTTAGGGCGTTCCCATTCCGGCACATGTCTCCGGTGCGAACGACGGTTGCTCATAGGTATTTTTCTTTGAGACCTGCTCCAGTGAGCACCTTTTGTTGTGCGCAGCCTACAATCATTGCCTGGGAGAAGGACACAAGTTCGACAACTCTGTCCGCGTTCTGTGACGAGAAGGCGCGGTACCACGGGCGAGTAGTTCATCTTACAAGAAACAACGGAGGGACGAATCTTTGTCGGGTAAGTAACCTAAAGCTCTTGGTGGACATGGCTCATCGACTGGTAGTGCATCAGACTCCTTTGCAGAGCGCCGCCGAACGAGTGTCCGTGGCACACATGTCACCGCAGTGGAGTCTTTGACAAGTCTTGAGCACGGTGAGCACTTTTCCCATCTCATACGATGCTCTAAGCTATGCAGTACTGATTCATCACTTTTCGGGGCACGCTTCTATTGTATTCCCGTATCAAGTCGGTAAACTAGGGTAAACTGCGCGACCGTTACTCGGCTCGAGGTATTGGGTGTTCCGGTTTCATAGCGTATGGTCTAGCCTGCACCTCCGTGGACGTTTCTATGGCGTGAAAGGCACGGTAGTCTCGCTCAAGGCAAGGTGAGTATGTTTGTCGTGTCTTCCAACTCTGAATTCTCTGTACAGGCGGTGACGATGCCTCGCTGCCGCCACCTCCGTCTGTACCGATCGGATGACGGGCGACGGCTTCAGCGGGAGGACTCGTGGCTGTTGCTGAAAGACTGAATGGGAGACGACAGTGAGAGATGTGGGCTCAGGCTAAGGCCGGGCTCTCCTTCCTCGCGCTCGCTGGTTTTGGGTCCGAGTTCGTACTCCTGAGTACGACATCTCCCAAGCCCATGACGGTGGTCGATGCCGATTGGTCGTGTTCCGAAGCTCCGGACAGGTACAGTGGGGAACAAAGTATCATTAGAGATCGACCTGCAGGGGGCGGGGCTTGAGTTGCAGATGATAGACGCGGAGTCGGCTCCAGGACAGGTAAGCTATACGCGCAATTCGTTCTAGCAATGTGTCTGTTGATGCGCTACCGACAGTTCGAAGTTGTCACCGGCCCTCTGTCCCCGCTCGAGGCAGCCGACGCGGTTGTACATACCAGAGAGACCATCTACAACGTCGCCAGCAAGCATGGCCTCCGTGCTACGTTTGCACCACGGCTGCACGCCGACAACTGTACTTAAGTCCTCTTCTCAACAGATCACCACGGCGTGCGCCTGACCCGTCTCTGCAACGGTGCGCACCTACACTTCTCTGTTCATTCAAGCAGGCCTCCAACATCCGGCACGCGCTCGCGCCCAGGGTCCCTCTCTGTTGATCTGGACTAAACAAAACGACATGCTCTAGAAGGTTTCGACGAGGCGGATAACGGTCGCCTCCTCGGTAGGCAGCGTCATATGTTCCTCTAACAACTGCACCATCGACGGTACTCGTGAGTACATTGCTTCCCTGCTGAGGAAGCGGACTCACCTTGCTCACTCCCAGATATATGCCCACGAACTCGGCACCTAGGGCTTCTTTCAGATACTGATTCTCGTCCAGCATCTGTCGAGCGTCGCTGACTGTCCGGGGAAAGCGACGGGGATTCTCCAACCCCACCGCCTTTCTCTCTTCTTCACTCATCTGCGCCGCTGGTATCGCGCAATTCCCGGTCTTCAGCTCCGCCCCGTTCAACACGCCCTCCAATCCAGCCGCCAAGATGCCCGCCGAGACAAGATACGGGTTCGACGTGCCGTCTATCGTCTTCACCTCGAAGTGGTTCGCCCGCCCGTCCCCGCAGATTCTCACAGGAGCGTCTTTGTTGTGCCACCCCCAGCACGCGTACGTGCCGCCCGAGAAGATGCCATCCTCGACGCGCTTGTAGGAGGCGTTGGTTGGCAGGGTGATCGCGCTCAGCGAAGCGATGTGCTCGACGAGTGTCTGGAGGAAGGAGCGTTGGGTAGGCGTCAGCTCGGGTGCTAACGCGGCGTCTGATCGAGTGTCCGGGCCTGTAAATGGGACGGTCGAGTGCAGCGACAAGTGCATGTGCGCGCCACTGCCGACTACAGAAATGCCGGTGAGTATGACTGGTCCACTTTGTGGTTCAGTTTAAGGAGTACTCACTGTTATCAGACAGCAGGCGCGGAGCAAAGGTCGCACGAAGCCCGTGCTTATGCGCGATGTTGTAAATGGTCTCTCGGGTGAACACCAAAGCGTCGGCCGCGTCAAGAGGGGACATCGGACCCGTCACTAGCTCATACTGGAGATAAGGATGACTGGTGAGCCATCTACGCGCATCGAGAGAATCGGTATGAATACCTGTCCAGGGGCAGCCTCTCCGACCATGAAATGTACCTCGATGCCGGCCTCCTCGACGCAGTCGACGATCTCGTCGAGTACCGAGTTCTCGACTGCACCCGTGCGATACCCTGCGGAACAGCCCCATCCAGCGTCATTCACCAGCTCGGGCGGCGACGATGTCTTCTTCAGCAAGACGAACTCGGACTCGAAGCCGACCAGGAATGTTAGACCAGCCTTCTCCTTGGCTTCGTCGACGACCTTCTGCAGCATCGTCCTCGGACACAGCGGGATCGCGAGCGCACCGGTCGGTGAGGGCACCTTCTCCTGTAACCACGTCGAGACGACGGCGTGTCCGGGTGCGTACGTGCATACGCGGAAGCTGTTCAGGTCTATCGCAAACAGGCACTCGCCCATGGAGTTGAAGCCGCTGGCGAACCGGATGCCGACGAAGGCGAGAGCGACAGGCGACAAAGTCATGCTCGGACGCGCGAGCTTGCATATGCGCTTGAAGTACGAGACGGGCAGCACCCAGAAGCGCACCGTGTTCGAGTAATCGACGAATTGCACGCGCACGTGCTTGATCCCGCGTTCCTGGAGCCGTAGGTCATCCACGGATGTGTACCTCGGTGGCGAGCCATGATCTGCAGCGTAGGCAACCGCGAAACTTGAAGCTGAAGCTGCGTCCATGACGGGGAAGGTTGGATGGATACAAGCTCTCATTGCCAGCTGGTGCTGATACCTACGTATATGAAGATACTGTCTTCCCCATGACTGCCGCCCTCGCTCGTTTCAACCTTAGATTTCCCCGTTTGTACAGCCCGACACAGCGCTTTACCCTGCAGCGGACGAAGAAACAACGATGTTGTCCGAGTCCTTGCCGATCAGGATGAGTCGTTTCATCGCGCTCCTTGACCGGTGTGCTCAATGTCTTCAAACACACGTTCTCTGATATGCGCTGATGAAGCGGGCAATGTACCTGAGCGCTACTACCAGTAGCGCACTGGTAGGTACTGTCAAGGATGCCTGGAAGTCCGTGCCCTTCACGATGCTGGTAAGTACTACTCATATGATCCAACCATTCGTAGGTCAGAGGACGTTGACACTGTTCGACCCTCGGACCAACTTGAACTTGGAACTGCCATTTCAGATGCAACTGTGCAGTCGTCCCCTGCCAGTGGTCGCCCCTCTGAGTGATCCGTGTAGCTGCAAGGAACCACACCGAACATCTGCGAGTGATGGTGCCGTGTTTCAATGGTCGAAAGGAAACGACGCCGGCTGATATCCTCACGATGATACTGATGCGCCCGACCTCTGTAGGTACAGAGCGCGTGCTGTGCGATGACCTCAAGTCTGGCACGCGATAATATTTGTCGCAGGCCATGGACGCCGACGAACGTTGATCCGCGGTTGGCCTTCACTCCTACCGTACTGTGCGTCTCCCGTCGGCATGCCTTTTGCGGCAGTCCGAGCAACAGCTGTTTCTCCTGCTCCCTCGTGCCATCCCGACTGGAGTCCATCGGGCTCATATGGCACCGCTATCTAACAGTCACATACGTACTCATAGCACTTGTTCTTGATTGACCTGATCTTGTGTTTCGAGTTTGAACATGTCCAATACAATCAGATTACGAGCCCTGATCGTTGATGTATAGTACATTCGGTCGTCGTCCGAAATCCGCGGAAGCATCGTAGCAAGCATGAGTGAATAGAGATGGTGACCATACCGGATCCGAGTAATCTTCATACCCTAGCCAACGGTCCTTCTACTGAGCCAGTCGATGGATAAAATGTCACCAAACGACAGCCTATGAACGACTGATGCCCCCGCCGCGCTCCATACAGGCAGTGACGATGCATCGCTGCCTCCTTCGCCTGTAGCGTTCGGATGACACGCTACGTGAGGGTGCTGCTGAATGGCTGAACGGGAGAGAAGAGTTAGAAAGTCGCGTCTGCATGAAAACGGACTCACGTTTACGATATCAACCGCGCGCCCAGGTGACATTGACTATGCCACGGGCAGACCATGGCTGCAATATGTCACGGAACATGGCCACGACTTTCCGACCGATGCTTTCCTCATCCGAATGGAGGAAATTGCGCGGAGGGACCAGGTGCAACCAAGTTTTCACTTCGACATGCTTCAACGTGTCGAAGTACGGTTGGCTCATGACCTCGTGCAGGTCCCGCAGGTCGAGCTCCTCGAGAACAACACTGGGCCCCTCTTGATCGAAGTATTGGAATTGTACATCGACGGTAAACTCGATGTGCTCGAGCTGATGGCTTCGGATGGTGGAGAAGAGGTCGCGTAACTCGTCCGTCGCTCTGGCCCACGCCGTGCGATGCTTCAGCCACGGGTGTTCGGCTTCGTGTCCGATGCGATTCAGCCAAGACTTCCAGGATCGCAGGGCGGTGTTTCGCGACATATTGGTGGGAACTACTACATTGTGCATGCGCATTAGCGGCAAGTCTGTAAGCAAAACAAGGGACTCTTACCTGTATAATTGACTCGGAGGTAGATTTCACAGAAACGGGTCAATGATCCTCCTACCGCTTCGAGGAGGTTGTTGATGGGGGCCCGTGCCGTGGAGGAAAAGTTGGTGGAAATAAACGTCAGCTCCGCGAGTGAGGTGCAGAGGCCTGAGTGCATCATCCAGTCAAGGAACGTCACCATGGATTCATCATGCACGTGGACGTTAAGGTATCGAAGACGTATGTGAGATGGTGGCCGAAATAGAGAGGCTCCCGCGTAACTGGCAGCATGCTGAGTGAAATGAACAGACATCGTGAGGTCTGTAAGCCGGGGGAACGCGGACACAATCCGCCGCAGCTGCGTGATGCTGTTCAGTCGGCACTCGAAAAGCGTCAACGACTTGACAGACTCGAACCTCGACAGAGCGAGGAAGAAATACGTGGGGATGAAACAAAGTCTTGCATGGCTGATGCGAAGGATGCGTAGACGAGGCATCAGACCAGTGAGCGCGAGTGGTAGTGCTTGAAGGAAGCGAAGGCCATTATCGTAGACATCGATGCTAGGAAAATGATCATCCTTCAAGTCCTGGCACTTAAGCTTTTGAGGCCTGTCCTTGTACAGACGTCGGAGTAAGCACCCACCTCATTTACCACCAGCTGGCATGTGCTCGCGAGCCATCCTTCGACGCGTGGTGACGCGCGAATCTGCTTGAACAGCATGTTGAAGCTTCTGCGGCTGCGGATCTCGAGGGGGTGGTAGAGGTTGTGCATCGCTCGAGGGTACCATGCTGCGCAGACCAGCGCCGCGGCGACCAATGTGGGACGATCCATCTCGTCGACGATGAACTCGAAGACCTCGAGAGGGATGCGAGCGGAGAGGGCCAGCGGCAGGGTGCCTTGAACACGGATGTCCCGCCAGCGTCTGAAGGTTCGTTTTCCGGTGACCCTCTCGACAATCCATTCATGGGCAGTGGATTCCTCATCGCTATTGCTTTTGCCGAAAGCACTCGATCCCGCGTCGTTCTGTTCATCGGCATTGCTCTGACCGACATGATCGTCGGCACTCGATCGCATGGCTTGTACGTGTGAGGCATGCTCGGAGGAAGGAGTAAGATGCTATGTAGGTAAACGGCGCATCAGTCGAGAATCGGGATCATCGTGGACAGAAGACGACCGACGGTAGGCTGGAGATCGGACATCTACCAGTGGGCACTCGCACCCTGTACGCGATGGCGTGAATGTATGGTATGAGATGAGGCGCAACCGTGAGCGGAGGAGTGGTGGGATGTGGGCGAAGGTAGAGAGGGGTCCTCGAGGATGCAGCGAGGCCAGGCATGTATATGAGTGCTTGGGAAGAGCTGTGTGCGAGTTTGATGAGCCGCACGGAGACTGCCGCGACCGGGACCTTTTATGCCATGGTCAGTCGTGCTTCCAGCAGTCGTCAACGTGCCGCACTGCCAGCCCCGGATATGTTATCACTGTGGGACATCCCAGCGCTGAGCCGCGGCCAGCCTGAGTGCGCCGCAAGCCCCTAACCCTAACTGGGTTCTCCCACCCAATGTTTGTGTCTTCGATTTCGACAATTGATTCGACCGCGCCACGTCAGCCGAGCTCATCTTCAACGAGACGGTGATCAGGCGAATACATCCCGATGATTGAATGTATGCGCCTCGCAGTCATCTTCACACCCTTGGAATACGAGCCGGCGGCATACGCACCGCGGAGAGTGTGCCCGAGGCCATTGACCATGCTTGTGGTGTCCATATCAAGCGATGAAAGGCGAGTAGTGCCCTCTGCGCTACTAGTATTCGCATTCCTTCAAGTATAATCGTACGCCGCGTGCATCAACTACATAGCCGGACTCATGCCCTGCACGAACACGGTCAGTCATGATCGGATGGGAAGCAGAGACACATGACTTGCCAGGAGAAGTATGGATCCGCTATTGCGGGCGATGGGACGCATATATATGATCCTATTTCCGCGCGGATCATAACAAGACATCGAGGGTTCCAACACTTGCTAAGCAAGTCCAGTGCGAATGCGAACCCAGAGCAGGTTCGTATCGCGCGTGCGGACCATGAAGATCCAGAAGAGTGGACACCCACGAGCAAACGTGCTAGTGACGCCCCTTCCACTCTGTAGAACGTTCGCTGGACCGCACGTAGGCCTACTGCCACGTCGGAGGGGAGGTTCAATCTAAGCGCTATCACCAGCCCGGTCAGACAGCCAGTCTTCCTGGACGTGGTACTCACCGACTAAGAGCCAAGGATCAGCGTCCCGGACACTGTCAAGAGAGTAGCCCGAATGTGAAGCGATTACCGCTTTCCAGCGATCCACACGACTCGCGTTCAGGCTTATGCATCTATTCCATACCGGCAGCGCCGTCGCCCATTCGTGTTTGCTCGAGTCGTACGTGTGAAGCCTCTTCGCGTAGTTTAGCGTCCCGGCGGCGTCCGAATTCTCTCTGGCGCTGTCAGGGAAGCTCAGCTCAGCCTTTTTCTCCAATGGAGAGTTCCGGGTACGCACCGCGAATTGGTTTTCGACAATAGCCTGCTGATTATTGGGAATAACTCACGCTGACTAGACTTCCGCTGGGGCGATTCCCCGCTGAATCGGTCTATGCCCTGGTCACATTCTTGTGCACGACATCAATTCCCATCGCTGTACGCAGGCTCGTAATATCCGGCGACACACAAGTTGCTAAATCCACGGGATTGGTCCTCCGTGCGATCCGCTCCGCCCTGCATGCACTCGCCGGACGCCCGGACGATCGTCCTCCTCTTCTCGACGGTTCAGACATTGGTGATCGCCGAAGAGCCGCCCGGGAGCGTCATGGGGTTTACTCGTCGGCGTTGTCGTGGTCCAGAGCGCGATCAAGTACCTGATCTTGAAGCGCGCGAGCTGGCGCGCTTGCACTCGGGAGAGGGTTCTACGTAGCTCGTGAACACATCTGAACGGCCTCTATTCATGATTCAGGAGTTCAGAGTGCATGCAGCGTTAGATGACAGGTCGCCGGGATGATCTGAGATATGCGTACCTGTCTTTGCGCCCGAATTTTCACGCCATACGGTCGACCATCGCTTTTACCGTATTCAGAGGCGGACGACAAGTTAACGTCGGCCTCGCTGCATCGAGAAGCCTATTGATCAGATCAATATATCGCGAGGATCTGTCTGTTCAAGAAGCCGTCAGGGAAGGACACATACTAGCGAGCACGAACCTGTCCACGATGATCCGGAATCTGTGCATCATCCTCATACAGCGAAGTCATACGTTTCCCTGCACCTGTCATTGAAAAGATCACGCAACCGCGGGTTGATGGTCCTTTGGGACATGCATTCGCTGGAAAACCAGAAATCTGAATTACCGCAGCTGCAAGACGTTACTGAGCGCGTACCGAATCGGGTCCGACGGCGTGACAGGCTTGAGCAGTTATAATTCTTGAACAGAGACGAGACGCACAGTAGGATAACTTAGGACCCATTCGGCTCCGAGATCCGCACGCTATTGACTGTGCGACAGAGTGAGACACGTCGCATGCGCCCGGCGGGAGCGCGATGAGGCCTTCGCGACGTCCGCTCAGGCGCATCCACAACCAGGATGCCAGGAGACCGAGCGGGTGAGCGGTGAAGAAGGGAACGCAGGTGACCTACCGAGAATTGGGGCTCAGCGTGGGATGTCTGCAGAGTGATCGTGGAGAGAGACGTACCAAGACAGGAAAAGGATTCGGCGGTCGGTCCAGGCTGCGTAACGCACTAGACAATGTCCCGCTTAAGAATGACGACCAAGAGGCCTGCGGACAGTGGCAGAGACGGGTGAAAGTCACGTCCGGTGAATCTGCAACATACCGACGAGGTTCATGGAGCATGATAATGGGGCCTACGATTTGGCCATGAACGGCCATACGGACGTGCGGATGAACAGACATCAATTTGATCGAATGGTCTAGATATGTAGTGCGTTAGTTCCATATCGCAGTCGAGGGGAGTACACGTACCTGAACCACGTTGGCCTATGGTACACGAGCAAAACAAGATAGACATACTTAGAGCAACAGCGTGCTGTTGAACAAAATGCCCTGTGCCACCATCACGACGAGGAAAGCTTGTCGAAGCTCGATCTGCGATGTAGGAATGTATGTCGAGGACGTGGTAGACGACTCGATGTTCTCGTGGGTCGTGATATCAACGTGTCTGGGTGCGACGCGAGACTTGGAGGATGTGCCTAGGGCATGTGAATCTGATTAGACGAGGAACAATCTCAAACGAAAGACACATACAGTGGTGGATGTTGGTTCTTTCATGGAGGTCGTAGTTCGAAACAACGCGTTCACCCGATCTCCTTGTCCCGCACAGAGCGGGCGTTGTACCATATCAGAGCCTGGTGGTCGTCGCAAGCGGGAAGACTGCGCACGCGTCAAGGGATGCGCGCCCGTGGGTTCCTTCGTCGATTAACGTTCATCGGCGACACGTTAATGTGAGAATAGATGTTTGGCGGTGAGATCCTTGCTAGTGTGGCGTTCGAGAACATGTGAAGTGACTAGCCAGACGATCGTTCTGCCTCCAGAGGACGTAAGTGAGGGATGCAGGAAGCAGTGGCGAGTTACTTACAGGGAGGTCGGCTACGAAGCGCTAGGTTATTAAGCTCGTACAGGACCAGTAAAGTACTTCGGTTGGCCTACGAAACGCTGTGTCAGCTACAGTGATCATGATAGAACAGAATCGCACGCACCAGCGCGGGTGCTGTGATTCTCCATTCAGGCGATTTATGTAGCTGAGAGCAATATCGTCTGGATTCACGACGAGTAAAAGTGTTTTATCAGTAACTGAGGCAGACGAGAGACGAGTGTTCGGAAGGCAAGATTCGGTATCCTTGGCTTGCCAACGTGAAGTATTGCACGACGTCTCATTTCCGTGTGAATAGCTTAACATATGCCGGAGAAAGACGACAGAATGACCTCGTCTTGCACCCTACTAAACGGATGCGCCACGCTAGTTGTGGTGGCAGGATGCGCCTTCGTGGCTAGGTGCGAGGAGCCGCATGGTTGGGGACTAACGCAGCTTCAAGTACGTCGACACATGAGAACAGCTAACTCACCTCCATAAACTCCGCTACTGCTGTAGATCGTCCCAGGCTAAGTCGAGTATGTCGCGGTCGACCACAGCTAGAGCAAGATACGGAACTGCCTACGAGCCACTGGCGTCGCATTCTGTATACCTGTTTGTGCCACTCGTGCCGAGCCTTGATCTCCTCAGTGTGCTCAACAACGGTCGCTCACGAGCTTGCGCATGCTCAACCGAGCTTCTCAGGGGCGTCGAATCGGTGATTATCCCTGGCGCTGTCGCTGCCCTGGAGCCGGTCCCGCACCTAGTCTTGATGTGCATAGCCGGAAGCTTTCACTTGGGAAAACGTGCGAAGCCCGTCCACGAGTCCAGACACGTTGAAGGGTGATCGTCACGGCTCGGGTGGGGCGGAGGGAAGCGTGACGGAGTGCTGCAATGCTGAATGTGACGAACTGAAGTGGCGATCTACTAGAGCACTCGTGTCAACGCAAGAGTGTCGGTCCGGAAGCTCGCACTACTTCCGCAAGCTACACGATCGACGCGATTGGTCCCTTGGGCGAAGAGCTCCGTCCCGAATGGCCCATCGGCGATCCAGACGTTTCGCCCTTCCCGCACGTCCAGCTATTAAAGTGCGCCGACATAGCTTCCCGTGGGCGTCGCGGGGCCTGACGTCCTCGTCCGCACTGTCATGGTCTTGAGCGCACGCAATCGCTAATCTCGATGTGCGTTCGCTGGCGGCTAAAGCTCGTGAACGCCTTTGGAAGGTCACTCTTGATGCAGATGGGTGCCTGAAAGGGCTTCGGAGCGATAACGTAGGACCCTTCGGCTCCGGGTGTCGCGCGATAGAGGGATAGACACGTCGTACGCGTCCAGCGGGAGCGTAACGAGGCCTTCTCGAGTCCACGCAGGCGCATCTACAACTAGGACGACACAATATCGAGTGGGTGTGGTATGGTGGAGATTACGCAGGCGAGCTAAAAAATATTGTGTCAGCGTGGGGGAATATGAAGAATGAGCCCGGGAATCGGCGTACCCAGACAGGCGGGCTTTCTGTTGTCGACTCCATACCGACGCGCACATCTGCGTCGACAACATCACCCACATAACGATGCCGAACACGAGGCCTGTGGACGACATCAGCAAACAGTTGAGAGTGAATACGGTGTATGTGTAGCATACCAATGAGGTTCAAGCTGCCATCTTCTGCGGACGTGTTCTTGGTACACGTGGGGATCGATCCGACTCGAACGCGATGAGTATACGAGTGGATGTGAGCCAGCGCATGACTCGCGGAGACGTGCGGGACTGCTTGAATAGCATGTCGAAGCTCGCGCGGTTGCGGATCCACGACGGAGTACAGGTTGTGGATGGCTCGGGGATACCACGCAGCACAGGGCACTCGGACGATCGTCCTCATCTTCCCGCACGTCGTAATGGGGGGTCACCGACAGAGCGAGGAATGACGTGGGCTTCACAGTCCTCGTTAGCGCTGCGGTGATCCTGAGTGCGACCAACACCCGATCTTGATGCGTGCGAACTGGTGGCTTCGGACAGCGGAGAGGACACTACAAACTATTTCACACGCTCGAAAGATCGCTCTCGGTGGTTCGAGGTACAGAGGAGTGTGATCTCGGAGTGCTGCGATGCAACGTTAGACGTTAGGCTGACATGATGATCTACAATATTATTGTTCGTCCGCACTTTAGTCCAATATAGAGGGTTTTCGACCAATTCCACGCGGTATGTGATTGTCGGTGTAAGGAAGATCTCGCTGCGCCGAGAGAGTTGAGACGACGCGCCGAGAGGATGTGGCTGTTCCGTGAAATGTAAGATAGACCGTTAGACAGTTGAAGGAATGACGCATACGGGCGTGCACCGACCTCCCAATAATGACCAGGAGTGTCTGCGCACATTTGTCCTCATCCATGTACAGTCGAGAAACATGGATTCACGACTGATGTTCCAATGGTACAAGCCTACCAGAACGACGCACGTCATGATCGTCTGGCGAAGCGCAAGACATCAGGTCTGACTGGACGAGCAGACAAGCCGAGGCGGGTGTAACACCATTCAGAGCGCACTGGATCGGAATCAACAACGTGACAAACCGAAAAACAGCAGGGAACGCACATGAACGGGATCCGTAAGCCTCAAAAGTCGCGCGTCACACACCGCACGGCCGAAGGGGAGAAGCAGCGCCCGCAGATGCCTCTGTTGACGGTGAGGAGGCTGGCTCGAGCGGCGAGCGCGGTCAAACGAGGGTTTATTGTGCAGAGTCACGGTACGGCGCGCCGCTCGGACATGAGACCGAAGCTGTGCAGTTGAGAGCCGCGACATGTTGAAGGCTGGACAGATATTGCGTGAGGACACCAAGTAAGTCAATGCCATGCACCTGTACTGACCAACGTAGGAGCCGCCTGTTTATCGCGTCGACGATGGACTCGGAGGTCTTCAGCAGTATGTCAGATGAGACCGCTGGCGACGTACTTCATGGAAGATACAGCTCTCATTTGCGTATTCCTGTCGCGCTACAGCGTTGACGCTGACCATTGCAGAACGGATACTATTGATAATGACGAACGCGTAAATCGTCCAGGCGCGACGGACTGCAACAGATGTGCGGACGCGAACCTGGGTCCCCGACGTTATGTAGGCGGCACTTGCTACCCGCACGGACATAGCGCAAGTTCTGCGAGTCACAAAGTAAGCCGATGGGGGCAGCGAGAGCAGCGGAGAGCAGGATCGAAGGGAAGGTCGTCGGTCGCGCTGGTCGACAAGGAGGAGGCGACGCCACCGTGGTCGGCCCGTGGGCCGCTCCTCCGAGATGCCTACGAGCGCCTGTCCGTACCTCTGACTGCAGAAGCGCTTTCTGCACTGTCTTGGACACCCTCTCACCGTTCTTTGAATACCGCCAAAATCTCAGCACGCATCGCGCAACGCCCTCGGGTGCTGTGTCGTCCAGCCAGACGCGCAATGCATACACAATTGCTAAATGGATGCACGTCCGCGCGGGACTCGACTCGCGCGCATCCTCCGCAACCGTTGCCCTCCGCCGACTGACAGTTACTCATGCGCCTCTTCGGGTCCTGCTCCAGTGAGCACGCGTCCGTTGCGCGCATCCCGCAAGTATGACGCTCGACAGTTCCATCCGCGTCCTGTAACGGGGTGCGGTGCATGGGTGAGTCGCTCGATCGTAAAAGCTTGAACGAGACGAAAACACGGAAGGACGAGTGTCTGTCAGGTATGTAACCTCTAGTTCTCGGGGGACATGGCTCATCGTCCAGTGTGCATCAGACTCCTTTTCAGAGCTTAGTTCGTCGCCGAACATGGCACGCGGTGGATGCTTGAGCTTGGTGAGCGCTGTTCCGCATCTCATAAGGTGCTCTGAGCTCTGAAGTACTTATCTACTGTTGTACAGAGCACGCCTTTTGTGTCTTCCCCCGTCGAAAGCCAATAAACTGTGCGTGACACTCGGCTCGAGGTAATGCTCCAATGACTGTTCGTACTCAAGTGTTCCAACATCATAGCGTACGGCCTAGCCCGGACCCCTGTGGACTATTCTGGGCGCGAATGGCGTTGCGGCCTCGCCTAAGGCAAGGTGAGTATATTTGTCATGTTTTTCAACTCAAGCGAGTCGACCTTACATTCACTAACGCCGACGCAGAGCGCCGCCCACACATGCAAAAACGAGACTCAGTGCGCGGGTAACCTACTGATTTACATTGCGCCCGTCGATGTTGAGAATTCTAGTGGCATTTGCGACCAACGTGCTGTCACTCAATTTGCGCACTCGAAGGGAGGCTTGGCGTCTGCCTACCTGTGATGCTTAGTTGCCTCGCGACTCCGTGAGCTAGCGTATCCGACGACTGATCTACACATCATTGCTGCGGAACTCTTCCTGTTCGCCAGGTGAGTATGGCTCGCTTGCTTGGTATCTCACTGACCCGCCGTCATGCAAGCAGGCCATCTTGATCCTCGTAGACATTCCTGCAGTATCAAGGCTCCCATATCAACCCGGTCATGCATCGGCATGAACATGATCCACCGTATCTAAAGACAGTGTACCACTGACCACGTTCTCTCAACAGCAACACAGCGAACCTGTATGCCTCTTCCTACGGGC